TTCATTCTAAAAAAGAAAAGAAAAAAAAAAGAATTTAGAAGTAAGAGTTTAGATTTCAAAACGCTTCACACACAAAATTCCTGTTTGAATGATTGATTGATTCTTATTATTTGATAAGATAGTAGTGACCTTGTTAAAATGCACAGCTTTTATGTTAATCTCATCTCTCTGTCTCTCTTACCCACCTTCCTATCCCCCTTTTTTCCTCCAACTACTTCCAAGATATAATAATAATATTGTATTTATTTAGCTAGAAAATGTGTTTCTATCACACATATATATATGTACTTTTTTTTTTTTCATGTATGCCCTGTGTGGTATGATGTCACAAGGCATTATCTCTATTTGGGCAAATAATTTGTTCTGCTCTATTTTTATGTGTTTTAAAACTAGTTCTGGGCCAACTTTTTGTCTCTTTGACCTCATTCTCAGACATATTTTAATAGTTACTGCATTTTTTTTTTTTTTTTTTTGGGTACAAATGCTGGTCTTAATAAAAACTAAACTTGGACTGTTCAGTACACAATTCCAATACCATTATCATCAATTGCTTTGTTGACTGGGGTGGATAGCTATGCCCCTCCAAAAGCATGTATTAGTTTGTGTACTGACAGATCCTTCTATGCCATGACAAAACGCTGTCAAGAATCTGTTTACATTGTCTTTCTCTATCTCTCTGTTCATAAATCTTTTCAGCTGTCACAGTATATTCCATTTTCTGTTTCTTTGTTCTCATTAAATGTCCAAAAACATCCTTCACTTCAGAATGTAAAATTTAATTTCTAGATTTATAGTTTGATCTTGAACCCCAAGAAATGTTACAACAAATTTTTATCAAGAAAAACTGATGAACTGCAACAACAAAAGTAGGATTCTATAATCTGTCTCCACTAAAGAAGGTAACATTTAACCTATAGACACTTACTTCTTCCCTTTTCTCTACTGCAATAAAACTGGTGAACTGTGTTACAACTGAGTATTCCTTGCTGAGATCAATGATGTAGTTCTTTAAGTCCATCTTTGCTACCTGCAGACAGACACAAGAGGAGATGAGTACTGGGTCCAGCAGACAGCTTTATAAATACAAAAATCATGAATAAGCACCTTATTAGCACAGAAACTACAGTAGCTTAGTTTCTAAATGCTTCCCAAAGTCCAGAAGGAGACAAACAACCAGCACTTTCCACCAAATTTACATCTGGTGAACACAAAGCTGGAAAAACTTCTTCTTCTTTTGTTCGCTTGAAATAGATTATCTGCAATGTTGTCTCTAGTATGAACTTTACTGTCTTTTGTAATTCACTCTGAGACCCGTAAAGTTTGACTTGCACAGTTGTATTTGGGACAGTCTTGGAGGACATGATCTGTTGTCTCAGGTGGCAATCCACATGTGCACATGGCTGATTCGCCAATTTTAAATTTTGTGTACATGTGGCTGCGAAGTCGACTGTGTCATGTTCTAAGGCGTAGAATAATAACTTGTTCTGGTCTGTCCATAAAATGGTAACCGCCTTGTGCCGGTTTTGGTGGCTTTCTGATTAATTTGATTATTCTCACCATATGTTGATAAGAGACTGGTACATCAGGTTGTTCTTCATTTGCACCTTCGTTAGTTAGTTTATCAGCTGGAAAAACAAGAATCCACATCAGGGCAGGCTAAAAGCCTGCAACTGACCTTGGATCTCAAATCAACTGATCTTAAAACAGATACCAGAATAGTCCTGGGAAGTTAAAGAGGTTGGTTTGACAGAGGACACTCAAGACAAGACAAAGTAAGGTAACAAACAATATAATAAGCATAACATTCATTAGAATTCAGGAGCTGTTAAGTTGACTTGCGTTGAGTTGAGAATAGGCATCAAAGCCCTCCAGCGCAGAGTTCCAATGCTAATGGTGCTGGTCTCAATCTGGTTACATGTCCGTCTTGCCTTTCCTCTGAGCGTAGTGTGCCAAGCCGAACCCTCTGGTCACACCCAGGTGCATCATTCTCTCCAGCCCACAATAATCCTTTCTCTTCTGACTTCATTACTTGTTACCAAAGAGCTCTGACCACATCTGCCTTGTCATTTATCAATTTATCACCCAGCGGTGCAGATCTAGAATTCAGGGAAGGAATAATTTGCAATCCAGTGCACGTTGACTGCCACTGGCTATTGTCATGCCGTGAAGGCGTAGAGTGTCTTTAATCTTGCTGATCCATATTTTCGGCCGCTGTCCTCTTGCTCTTGTAGCTGATCTTCTGAGATGTAGTACTTGTGATGGCATTTGATCTTGCTGCATTCTAACGAGATGGCCAAACCACTTGATCTGCTGTTTCTCAATGAATGGTGTTGTTCCCACAATTTGTCTGATAGTATCATTATTCACTCGATCTCTGATGATTAGGTTGTCTGCTTTTCTCAGGCATTTCATCTAGCAGTGGTGATTTTGCATATATGGGCTTTAGAAAGTGTCCATGTTTGGCACTGGTAGCTTAATGTTGGAATGAATATGCTGTTTACAAAAACAACAAACTCATTTATTAGAATCTTTTGTAATCTTCTTGGAAAAAGGAATACCACAATGCAACATCCAAGCAAATGGGAAACACCTTAAACAGATCTATAGTGTTAATTATCGTCTTTTCCTGCCCTTTATTCTCCAATGGACTACATGCCCTCAACCAGCTTGCACTGAGGCATAGTATTCTTTGCAATCTCATGTGGCTCACCACAGGACCTTTACTCATTATTTACCTCTTTCTAAATTTTACAGTTTTCTAGGAACAGCCAAAAAGCAATAATATTAGAAGAGACATGGTTTGCACAAATTATGAAAATCTGCTTCTTCTTCGCTTTCATTGGCTGTAAACTCAGGCAGAAAGTTCTGGTTGTTTGTCCACCTCTGGACCTTAATCTTTTTTCCAGAACCTGAGTGTTGCCTGCACATCTGTTTAACAGATATGACTTAATTGTTCACAGACTGTTGGTTCCTTTCCTCTCAGGCAGATGCACTTCGACCCAAAAGAAAGCTCCCAACAAGTTGACTCTTTCAATATGCTTATTAGAGAAGCAGTGGGTTTATTCTTGTTTTCCCCACAATGGGGCCCCGGAACTCAGACAGGGAGTTTTATGAAAATAATAATCATCCTCATGTTGTTGGTTCATAGCAGAAGATTGCTTTCCTCAATGTAGGAGTCCATGATGGCTAGTGAGGCATGTTCCAGCGAGACTTAGTTTTTCTTTCATGGATAGATATTCTGAAAGGCTATTTCAATAAGCATTATTGTTTTATATATTCAATACATTACTGATTTCTCTAAATTAGTATGGTGTTTAATATCTTCTGCTTCTTTTTCTGGTTCACCAGCTGTAAACTTAAGTGGAGAGTTTTGGTTGTTCATCCACTTCTAGACTTAGGTCTTCGTCTAGAACTTGAGTTTTGTGTGCACATCCATTTTACAGATTTGGCGTATTTGTATGCAGACTGTTGGTTCCTCATTTCTCAGGCAGATGCACTCCAACCTAAATGGAAACACCTCTAATCAGTTATTTACGACATGCATTTCAGGGCCAGTGGGCTCATTCTTATTTATCCCCACCTCCACAACGGGGTCCCAAAGCCTATACAGGGAGTATTTAATACACAGAAATAATACTCGAAGCCTATACAGGGAGTATTTAATACACAGAAATAATACTCGAAAGCTTTACAGGGAGTATTTATATTTACAGAAATAATACTCATGTTAAAATAAGTCTTGATAGAAATATACACATACAAACTTTTAATTGCAGAGAGAAAAAAGTTACAGTGCTATATACAGCTGTAATGTTGTAAGCATGTGAGAAACGGACAATAAGTAGACAAAATAATGACAAATATAACAAACCTCATGCTTCGTCCTGTCTCTGGACAGAATCCCATCATTCCAGTCTCTGATAATTGCCTTTGCCGTCAGACGATGTACTAGCTTGAGAGATAATGAACAAGAACTCTCATTTATAAGCTTAACAAAAGACAACACATCCATATATACCTACCGAAAACCAACCACATTGTGTTGTGATTTTGTCCTTGCTCTTTTGCTCTATGTTTTTTTCACAGCATCATATGGGCTCAACCAGTTCATGCAATGCCATATTTTTCTATCCCATGCAGCTCCCATATGATCATTTTTCTTTTGTTGTTCTTTGATTTGATGAATGAAGCATGAATGGATATTGCAGCTTAAGTTGACTATGATATGAAGCAGTAAATTCTACACCAACTGTCTTTTGTCACTTCTTTAGCCAGAAAAACAAATGGAAAACATTGATTAATCAGTTAATTTTGTTTACATTAAACTTGATAGCATAACAGGTATGAACCTGCTTAAGAAGATAGTGGTCCAATTTCAATCCACACCAACACCAGAATCTGAATGCAGCCTGACTTTTTTTCCAAAATGATCTTGGCTCCTAGGCAGACTCAGCCTCAAATAAAAAAAAAAGAACCCTTGTCCACACCTTCAGACGTATGGGGCGTACAAGACTAGAAGTATAATAAATAGACCAATCAGCACTGGGTGGGTGATGTGGTCAACATCACACCAGCCACCTTTCCTCCCCAGGACTTGGACCTGGTACCCACTCAAGGATGGATCAACTTGGGAGCCAATGTCATTTTTGTTTTAAAAGCCCGGCTCTGTCCGAATCTGAACCCACAACCTTCTGATCTGCAGGCAAGGGTCTTAGCCTTGAATAGGTACCAGATAAAGTCCTTAAAAGTAAAGTGGGCCAGTAATATTAACCACATCCCCCATTGAGTGCTAACTGGTCTGAAAATAAAGGTAAAGCACTACACATTCCATATGTACTTTTATCTTCTGAGGTCAACCCAGGCTTGTAAAAGTAGTACCAGATAACTGTCCTAATTTTCTGGGACAAAATGATAATTTAAAAAAGGGATGGGGAGACAATAATGAAGAAGAAGCAGACTCCAAGGTTATTTCTTGTGGTATAGGTTCATTAAAGACTTACCAAACCTTCAGTTATGGAGAGTTCTGAAGTGGATACTACTGTAGACACCTGTTGTCCATCAACCTCTGCTGTTAAAGTGGCCTACAAATTATTCAAATATATCCATAAATTAGGTCAAGATATAAATAAAACTGAACGAAAAGTATATCAGCAAGCTTCACAATACAACAAACACAAGCAAATCATGAATTTTTAATTTTCAAAATTTTTTCATGTTTAACCACACAAAGTAAATCCAAACACATGTGGGCAGTCATTCACAATGACTAACCAAGAGGACTAATCACGATTGGTTGGTGATTTTTAATTTGTGATGCGTTTTATTACATAGCACACAAAATTCTGACAATGAGGTATAGCGGTTTAGTGGCAGATTAGGAAATTACTGCAGAAGTGGTACATCGATCTGGTAGAGTTAACAATGCAATGAATACAATGATGAATAGATGGCAACAACAACAAAAAAAGGTCAGCTTTAGTACATGATCACAAACTGCAGCATCACTTTCATCAGCAAAGAGTTTGTTCTCTTAGATTCTAATGAAGAAATACACTACACTATATATTTAGTCTTCTTTAGCATTTACACATATCTTTTTTCTTTACATAATCTTCTTTTTTCCCCAGCATTTTGAGCACCTGAAGTTTACTACTGCAACACCAGTTCTGCTAGTTCCCCCCCCCCCCCCCCCCCCCCCCCCCCCCCCCCCCCCCCCCCCCCCCCCCCCCCCCCCCCCCCCCCCCCCCCCCCCTTTTCCTTAGAGCACTGTGGACATCGGGCTAGTTGACTGCTTTTGGAAATAACATTTAACAAGCTCCATGATTCCTACAGTAAACAATTCTATGATATGCAACACTCTACTAAAGGTAGTCAACACAAAATGTCTGATCAGTACCTACCATTGTACAATCTGGCACAAATCCATACACGACCTGGTGAGATCCACTGAACAAAGCTGTAATCTCTTGTGGAGCCTGGACTGGTGCTGGATGATCGTCATTGTACTGATGCCACTCCACATTCACCGAAGTCAACCCTGGTTGGCAAGCTTTGCTTATTTGACTTTTGACCTAAAATAACATCAGCCATGAGTTACACTAGCTAAGTATTTACATAACTAGGATTTCATGCCGGAGACCTGTGTTCAATCCTTAGTACAGCATGTAGATTTTTTTCTTCTTGAGGGCAAAAAATAAATCGTACCCTGTCAAGTTATGAAGCCTGCACTAGTCATACAGCCTTTAATCATAGGCTCAAAGAGACACCACCCCCCCCCCTCCCCCAAATCACCCAAATTCTACACTGCTCTAATGCTCTAAGTGAGTGTGGTAACTACAGACAGTCAAGACAGTTGTGCAAAAACATGGAGAATTTCTGAACACTTAACAAGGTCTTCACTGCAATGTTGTTTCATGTGAATTGCATTTACATTGATTTACTCTATGGATGATTTTCAAAAGATTAGTGACAAATTGTTTGGAAGAGGTGGAGATGTGGTTTTATAGAGGAATGATCAGAATATTCTGGACAAATAAAAAAAGAGTAATGAAGATGTCTTGAAAGAAAGTGGCACACAAAGAGAAACTGATTGCCCACAACATCTTTGGTCATGTAAGGATAAGAAGAAAACTGGAGTACATTGTGACTTTGGGAAAGTTGGGGAGGAAAAGAGGCAGATGGAGACTGAGAGAAGATGCTGGACAGTTTGACAACGTCAAGGAAGATCATCTGTGACAGAACTGATTGACAGTGCATAAGACAGAAGATTGTGGTTAGACATGACTACTAACACCACGTGGCATGGACTATAAGGAGAAGACTCTTTCAATTCCCAGGGAGCTTACTTTAACACATTCTATTATCATCGTTAGTTATTTAGTTAGTGCCATGTTGATACAGATGTGTATGGTCAAGGTTTGCCATCTCATATGATAAGTGAAGGATCAGCATTGTTTGTGTCTTGATTATGTCAGATGATAAAGTTTTTCCACACACTGATCTCTTTATCTTCTTCCATGAAGTTTGCAAGTTGTCAATAAGGTTTTTTTTAAATCTTTGTATTGACTCATCTAATTTTGGCATTAATTTACTGCTTTCAGCTTTTTCTTAGAAGCGGCCACACATATTTTGTTTCTGTCAAACCAAAGTATTCAAAAAACTTTAAAGGAAGAAGATGCATTATAAACTACTCAAGCCATATGGAGAAAAAATATTCATTGATGCTTTAACTCTTTCAGTTAAAGAAGATTTTGCAGCTGATGTCTAAAAATGTCAATAACCATAGTGAAAAAGCAGGAGTTTTTATTTTCAAAGAAGCAAGGAATTCCAGAAAATTTTGACTAAAAAGCTTAACTGCAGTCACCTCCATATTTTCAAAGAAGCAGCATTTAAAATGCTGCATATTCAAATGCCTTGCCAGATTTTGCTAAAATGTCAGGCCAAATGCACATGATATAACAAACTTTGCATTGCCTGACATGAACAGGCCCTTGTGGCCCACATACTCGGTGCTGATTTTGACAGAAAGAGTTAAGTAATCACATTATATTGTACTTTAAACATTTTCACAAAACTCTTCGTTGGTTACTGAACAAAGAGGATGGAGCACATGGGAGTGCATCCCAAGTGCATGGATGTCAACTCTTGGTTGATTGATTGATTGATTGATTGATTGATTGATTGATTGATTGATTCATTGATTGATTGATTGATTGATTCATTCATTCATTCATTCATTCATTCATTCATTCATTCATTCATTCATCCATCCATCCATTCATCCCAAAAATAAATCAACATCTAAAAGTGAATAAAGCTGAATGTGACTAGCCCATCTGTCTAGGTCTCTATCACCAGAGTAGATAACCACCTGCTGAAAGTTCAGCTAAGGCAAGAACTCCACAACTCCAGTGATTACCCCTAGGCATCTACAAATATTTTGCACTCATAAACTGAATGGCACAAACAAACACATGACCTTCAGAGTACACAGCAAGCAGTGGGACCACTTTGCCTCACAGACCCTTTAATCCACATCTGAAAACTATTTCCTCTTCTTCTATGTTCGCCATAAAGGTAACTGGCCTGTTGTGTTGTAGTTTACAGTAAGGCTGTGATATCCATGCCTTTTGGCCCAACATGTTCAATTTCAGCTAATTTCTGAATTAGTCTCTTTTTACAACATGCCTGTTATGGAACAGTGGGTTGGTGAACGAAAGAAGAAAAAAGTCCCTCTGGGTGTAGGTAAACCAATCATTATGGTCTGCAGAGATTGGCACAGCTGGGAGTGAGTAGGGGATCTGGTCAACACTCTACACTCAGAAGAAAGCTACTGGTACCATCAGAATTAGAACTCTTTGCTAGCTGCTGAAGATGATGATGGAGAGCTTGAGGAATGTTCTGAGGACTGTGATATCAGTTCTTAACTCAACAAGAAGAAGAAGAAGAAGAAGCAATGGCTCTGTTTCCCCCCAGAAACGGGGCCCTGTAAACCAATAAACCAATGGAGAAAACAATAATATAACTGCTGTTTGTTGCCACTAACCTTGGGTTCCCATTTCGACTTGGTTTTACTGTTGAAATATTCAAAAGCTCCTCCTGACACACGTGACACAGCTTTCAAGGTGTAACTGTTGCAGGTGTCGCTGTAAACAATTTGTTTCAGAAATCACAAGATATTTAAACTCTAAAAGTTATCTCTGCAAAGGTGTCATCATTATCATCATCGCATCAAGAGTCCTGACAACTGTCATGGTTACTGTCTTGCAATTTCCAATAAAATGTCTGATTTGTGATGGCATCTTTCCCTGCCATGATAAAAGGCTATCAAGAACTAGGTTTTCGTCGTCTTTGGACTTCCTCTTTCAAAATAGTGAATAGCACCGGTGTTATTTTTTTTATGGCTGTGATTTTTCTCAGATTTTTCAGTTCCCTTAACATGGACTGCTATTTTGTGCACATTTTCAAAGCAGGATACTTTGACCATTATCTTTCTCTACCTCATTTTTCCATAAATATTTCCAGTAGTGTCACATAGTCTAGTTCAGGCTATTCACTAGTGGCAGCCTGTGGGCTAAATTTGGGCCAGTGAGGCCTAGCAAGTGGCATGTGGATAATTGCCAGTTGTGTTATTTTTATGATCTTTATATGCTGGGTAACTAGTTTTGGCTACTAAATAAACTTAGTTAAATAGTCCTGCTCTAGTTTGTTTCTTCTCATAATATTAAACAAAAAACAATGTCTACTTCTTTCTGATGTTTAGTTTATTTTGTGTAGTAATCATATTCAGGTTTAACTGCAAGTAGCCTGTCAATGATCTGTAAGACACTCAAGTCAACAACTATCTCCAAGTAGACAACTTGGAAAAACTGAGATCTGGCAAGGGTGGATGGGATGCATCTGGCTAAAAACTCACTGAATCTGTGATAGACCCACCTTTATCTACTGTCAGCTTGCTCGCAGACATAATAGGATTTGTTCACTTTTCGTCCACTTAAAATAGATTATCTATATTTGTAATGCTGTCTCTAGTATGAACTAAACAATAAGAGTGATGGGTAGATGGAAATGCAAGGTCGTGAATACCAGAATCTAGGCAACTCACATCAAGGCTTGCATGAGATGCCTTCTTAAAACTGGCACTGAAAGGCAAAACAGGAATAGAGGAAAAAGGAAGAATAAGAATCCTTCTCTATAGGGGATTGAATCTTTACCATAGACGGGGCAGACAAGTCCATTAACAACAACTTCAATAATTCAATCAAATTGAAAACAAGAAGCTTCCTTAGTACAAAACAAATTTGGGGTATTCCGCAGCTCAATTGTGGAACTATCTGTCACAGCAAATAAAAAATACCACTAGTCCCTATACATACAATCGGAAACTGTTCAAATATTTTCTGAGCACAGATCATATGCCCCCTTAGAAGATAAAACATATGTTAGAAATAGCACACATTTTCCTTAGATTTGTTACAACTACTATGGTTTACTGTAGTTAGAAATGTGCACATTCAAGTGCTTGTATTGATTATTTTGATGCTATTGCTAATTTCTAATATTACTTAATGTATGAATGAAATGATGTAAGAATGGAGGGAGACCTCGAAGGGCAGAATGTTAGATGGGCCTGCGTGCCCAATTCTTAACCCTTTAAAAATAAAGTTTGTTCATTCGCTCGTTCGTTCGTTCGTTTTTTTCTTTTCTTCCATTTACTTCATCAAAGCTTTAGGGTGGGGAGGAGTGTAAGGATCTTCTGTGTGTTTTTTCCAATACTTTGTATTTCTTCAGCATGGCCCTCTGTGGCAGTGGGTACCAGGGCATTCTCATCAGATGACCAAACCACCTCCTTTGTTGTCCTTTAATAAACTGTAGTCTGTTAACCCTTTCGCTGCTACGTTCCCGGAAATAGTTGTCCTCCCTGTGCTAAGCAATGTGAAAAAAAAAGTCTCTGCTGTGCGCAATACTTTTCTATCCTCTAAACGCAAAAGATGCGTCCGCGGTGAGGGCTATGTTTTGTTCACCTAAAAATTTTTACCCTGGGGAGTTGTGTGGTTGGTCCGAGTGGTGACAAGTCAGAGGCACGATGGTGCCCCACAAACTTGACTAACGGGGGGGGGGTGTTGGGGATTAATGGGAGGAACTGTTCCCAGTACGTATCCCAAAATTTGATTGCCGAATCTACCACTTTAATCATATTTACTTGTAGTCACCATGTTATTACATACCAAAATAATAAAAAAAAAATATTCATAATAATATACTCAAGTCGTCCGTTGCTGAAAAGTAGCAGGAACTCAAAGGAAAATTTACAATTAATAAAAAAAAAAAAAGAAAAAACTTCGGGGGTTGAACACACGACACTCCGATTCTAAGGCGAACGTGATACCAATTACACTATGCTACCGCTTGACGCCTTGTGCTGTGTAAATGATCATAATGAATGATGTGCGCAGACTATCAATAATGTGTCTAAGTTTGTAGTCTATCGCCGCCTGCATGAGCACTGTTGTCTAAGAAATGTTTGAGATTCTCAACAATAGTAAAAATATGTCCCTCGACATTATTTTACGGGAGTTTTTAGTAAACAGTCTTTGCTCAAGTACTCTATTTTGAGTTTCTTTGTTCTAAGCATTAGCAGACAGACAGACAGAAAAAAAATTATTTCGTCCGAATCTGTGTCTGTCCATCGGGAAAGACAAGAAATTTTAGTGACTTAACTGTTTGAATTTACAGTAGCAGAAATACAGATAGAGCTGGAGTCATCAAAATCATGCACTACTGGTTTCAAATCATCGGTTCATCAAGATAACTGATCAATTTATTGCCGTTTTGATGGCGCTTCATTGTCGCTGCTCTCTGATTCCGACAATGAGGACGTCGGACAGGCAAACAGCTTTTTTTGGACACGCCGGTTTCAGCAGTCGATACTGATGGCCTAGTCAAATCTTCTTGTTCACTGTCAGAAGTACACGTTTCAAAGTCATCGTCGCTATCACTTTTGACAGAAACTCCATCAATTCTTCATCAACTTTAACAAGTTTTCTTGCCATTTTGTACTAAGTGTAGAATAATCCAAAAGCACAAATATATATCAGGGCACAAAATACACAGATCGCCGACCACGCTGTCACGGTAAACAAAGCAACGGGCTATCGCAAAATGCAGAAAACACGCCTTAAACACACCTAAAAGTACGTGCTAGTGCTTTTAATCATATGTAAATGGGTCAGTTTAATCTAAATATAGCTAATGTATATTGCCCTTCAGCCAATTAAATACGAGGGTAACAGAAATCTGTAAGAAAAGTCCAAAAACGGCTTAGGACGTCCATAGCACTGGGGGTCAGGAAAAAAAATAACGTCCAAAGACGGGCGTAGCAGCGTACGGGAAATCGGGAAAAGACGTCCATAGCAGCGAAAGGGTTAATTTCTGCATTTCTAATTTTATCTCTTTTTGTTACACTGTCAACTCTTCTAAGACATCTCATCTCTATTGTTATGATTTTTTATTCATTAGTTTTAGAAAGGGCCCAATCTGACAATGATAGCAAGAAGATTTAAAAAAAAAAAAACTGAATAAATGATTCCATAAGCCTACCTGACACCAAATGAAAAAAGACGAGTGTGTCTGGAGTTCTGTTTAGCACACTGAACAACAAACTCAGAATCATTGACATGACCGTCAGAGATCAGGAATACATTTCTTTGTTTTTCAGTACGTGCCAGCAAAAACAGAGGTCTCAGTGGTCGAATGATGTCTGTATTGCCTTTGTTTGCTACGGAATTCTGCACCAAGGGAAAGAAAAATATATAATGAAGAGAATGATAAACAGCATTTTACTAGAAAAACAACTTCCATGGAATATTATTACTGCCAAGCAAAATAATAATAATATTCTGTAAAAAATCAATTTGAACATAGTAATTATTTTAAAAAATCATACTTATAAAATGAACCCAATAATTAAGTAGTCAAAAGAATTAGATAAACATCATATTCAAAAACTTAAAACCTCTATGTACCCTAATTATAATTTAGAAGGGCTAAATGAAATATTGCTCATATAATTACTACTGCTGAAAAATAGACACTCAGCATACTCATGCCAAACCATTCTATCTTTTGCCTTCTACAACTTCCTCATGTCCTTCATATATTTTTCATCTCTGTCTCTAATTCTCTGTCATATGACTCAGCAGGGTGACTTCAAATCTATTATGAACTCCTTCTGTTTACATAAGAAGAATCGTTGATTTTTATTTTAAAGCTTTGGCTAGTCTCAGATTTGCCAGTTTGATGTGTTCTCTGCCTCTGTGTGCTTCATGTCTTCCTCTATATTTTTGTTTTGTATTGTGGTTCAGACAACTTTCTAGTTATAACAATATCAAACTTTCTCAAAGCATTTTGTTGTAAAGCTCTAGCAAATTTTCCTCTCAGTTTGATTCAGTGGAATCCCTCCTGTTCTAACTCTAAGCTGAGCAGATGTAAATGCTGATAAACATCCTTGTGAAACTGCTGTTGTCTATGGAAAGGTGAGACAATGGCCTTATTTTGAAACATGAGAGATACCGGGGTCAGTAGGAAGTGTAAGACTGGAGGCTTTGAATGGGGTAACAGAAAACTTGATGAAATATCATAAAATTACACAGTTGCAGAAATTCTGAGCAGAATTTCATTTCTCTGCTTGTGATTAGTAGTTTGTGAAGACTTATCACAGCACTCCGTACAGATCCATAGGTGCTCCAATCTCTTCCTCAATAACTATACAAGCATAGAACACATATATGTCCATCCATACTTACATAATTGTTCAATGATGGATGCTGATAGACCATTTTGATGATGAAGAGATTGAATAAAAGAAAACAAATTAATTAGTAGAATATGTGTTTACCTGAACAAACTGAATGGCAAGTTGTAGGTTTTCCTCTATGTTTTTCTTTGGTGCTGGAAATATTTCTTCATAATCTGGTAAAACATTCCATAAACAAGATGTATTAACTTCATGGTTAATGCATTAGTAAGAACATATCTCTTCTATAAAAATATTACCTGCTTGATTGTGGACATGTAGTTGACAAGGACATCGCTTTCCATGTCACTTCCCATTCATCAAACAGATCATTATGTTCTAAGGAGAATGGCGCTGCAAGGAGTTACCATGGGATCTGGCTCAACACTGGATGAGACGGATATACAATCAGATGGTTGCTGGTACCATCGGAATTGAAACTCTTCGCTTGCTGCTGAAGATGGGGACTGAACACTTATAGGAGTGCCCCGGGTGCTGTGATGTTGATTCTTAATTCAACATTCAAACAAGCAAATGCTGAGACTAGCTAATGCTTTATAAAAATTGTTTCAAATGAACAATCCACACTGAAGTAAACAGTTCATTATAAATGTGAAGTTACCCTGGTAAGTCATGTGACTACTGTGAATTTCTAGATGAACAATATTTTGAGAGACATAATTTGCTGTTATATTAATTGAATTAATTCAGTTTTTGAGCTTCAATTATACTGATGTAAATCCTTAGTAACGCAACTGACAAGATACAGTGAAATATGTCTGGCAATAAATTGTGAAATGTATTGTTTTTTTTTTTTTTAAACAGACAATGAGAAAATAGTATATTTAACATATTCTGTTTACTTCATCAAGGTGAGGTTGTCTGACCTTTGTTTGAATGCCAGTCAGGCAAAAAAACAAAAACAAAATGAGGGTTCTGAAGAGACAAGGTAGGAAAAAAAGAGTTGCGAGAAGAAATTTAAAAAAAAGAGACAAGTTTGTTTTTGTATTATATGTTCTTCTTCTTCTTTGCGTTCACCAGCTGTAGACTCTGGCAGAAAGTTCCGGTTGTTCGTCAACTCCTGGACTGCAGTCCTGCTCCAGAACCTGAGTGTTGTGTGTGCATCAGTTTTACAGATCTGATTCACTTGAATACAGACTGGTGGTTCCTTGCCTCTCAGGCAGATGCACTCCGACTTCAAAGGAAGCTCCCAATTAGTTGACTCTTACGACATGCTTTTGGGTAGGCAGTGGGTCTATTCTTGTTTTCCCAACAATGGGGCCCCAGAACCCACACGGGGATATTATATGTTGAATGATGAATAAAGAATTGACATTACAGCACTCAGGACACTCACAGAAGTGCTCTGTCCCCATCTTCAGCAGCAAACGAAGAGTTCTAATTCTGATGGCACCAGTGTTTTTGTTTTATTTAAACTGCCTATGAGAAAACTGTCTTTAACATTTTATGTTTACTCAAATGTAAGTCAGCCTTCAGCCTATCTGTTGGGGTTCCAGTGTAATTACAAATGGGTCATTCCATAACTGTCTACTCCTCTCACATGTGTAAAGTCAAACAGACACAGTTTATGCGAAATCCAACAGCTCACACATGCATTAAAAGCATAAGGCAGATGCCAGAGGTGCCAATGCCTACAGTCTGTCACTAGAATTTCTTTACATAGCTGATGGAAGCAGCAGTCACAAAGCACCAGCAGGTGCACATGCATTACTGAGAAGTAGAGAAGAACAGAGTTCTACTTGGAGAAGTAGAGTAGAACAGAGTTCTACTTGGAGAAGTAGAGTAGAACAGAGTTCTACTTGGAGAAGTAGAGTAGAACAGAGTTCTACTTGGAGAAGTAGAGTAGAACAGAGTTCTACTTGGAGAAGTAGAGTAGAACAGAGTTCTACTTGGAGAAGTAGAGTAGAACAGAGTTCTACTTGGAGAAGTAGAGTAGAACAGAGTTCTACTTGGAGAAGTAGAGTAGAACAGAGTTCTACTTGGAGAAGTAGAGTAGAACAGAGTTCTACTTGGAGAAGTAGAGTAGAACAGAGTTCTACTTGTAGAAGTAGAGAAGAACAGAGTTCTACTTGGAGAAGTAGAGTAGAACAGAGTTCTACTTGGAGAAGTAGAGAAGAACAGAGTTCTACTTGGAGAAGTAGAGTAGAACATATTTCTACTTGGAGAAGTAGAGAAGAACAGAGTTCTACTTGGAGAAGTAGAGTAGAACAGAGTTCTACTTGGAGAAGTAGAGAAGAACAGAGTTCTATTTGGAGAAGTAGAGTAGAACAGAGTTCTACTTGGAGAAGTAGAGTAGAACAGAGTTCTACTTGGAGAAGTAGAGTAGAACAGAGTTCTACTTGCAGAAGTAGAGTAGAACAGAGTTCTACTTGCACTACAGTGATAAAAACATGTGCACTGTGGACAGAGACAACAGACAATGTCCTCCAAGTCTGTCTCAAATACAACACATTAAGCCAAAACTTCTGGCCAAGGGAAACACTGGTGAAGGCTTAGGTTTACAGACAGCTGAGTCAATAAAAAAGACACTGAAGTTCATACTAGAGCTAGTGTTGCAAATATAGATCATCTATGTCAAGCAAATGAAAGAAGCTACCATAAATGTCACAAGAGGAAACCAAGGAGACGGGTGGAAAACTGGCCACTTCAGCCCATCAAAACTAACTGGAAAATCCAATTAATTATTAGAAAGTCTATTATGTACTTGAGTTGGTTTAAATTTTCCCTGGAAGATGAAAGAAGAAGTAGAAGAATCATAATTCTTCATCATCTTCCTCATCCTATTTTGTCTTTATATGTCACATAACACTAACAGTCTATTCTTCCATTCAATTTAATTTTGTGCAATCCTATCAATATCATGGATAGAATCCAATCTAGCACCGTTGATCTCTCTCATTACTTTTGTTTTATGGTTCCTTTTGGATGTCCTTCCTTCCTCGGTCAATTTCTTTCCCATATAAGTACCCATTAGGTGATTAAAGAATAATGTTTAGTGATTTAAAAAATTGAAAAACAAAAGGAATCTCGGATATCCTTAGTTGTCATAGTCACCTGATCCAAATCTGATAACATTGAAACTCCAGCCTGTTGGAAGATTCTGCAGTATAAGTAATGCCACCTTCTTAGCTTCTAAGAGTGAAGTCCCCTTCATTGAGTTGGACACATCCAAGATGAGAATAATCTCCCCGTCTTCAACTTCTGACGATTGAAACTCAGGGTAAAAGGTCAGCATGCAGGCCTGTTTGACAAGATATTTGACAATTTCAAATACATCTTTCAAACACTTAGGCTATGTACATATTTTCAAAACTAGAGTACTAAAACATGCTGGGGACATATAGCTCTAGAGTACTACAGAAAAGGATTAATTGCTACATTACAGGAATAAAAGTTTGCATATTAGTTGTTAATGTAACTTAGGACAGAATAATGGTTTCCTATATCACCTTAATTATTCTCAAAGATAGATTACACAATATAATTATCATAATTATTTTAAAAATACACTTCAATTACCTTAAACTAAACAATCAGTACTCATACAATATAGTACAGTTCATACATAATTTATATACATTATGGCAGATAGGCTAAGCAGTCCATTTAGCTTTGAAGTTATTTTTGCTTCTAGCAATGGTTTGCTATTGCAGTTTCCACATACAGACCAGAGTCTGCAGTTTTGCTGCCTAAGCACCAGAGTCTGCAGTTTTGCTGCCTAAGCTACTGAGTTGTGTGCTTGGTGCAGCACTGCGAGATGTATATTTTATTTGGAATGCCTTTCATGTGTGTCCACATGCATTGTCATATTCATAGAATAGCAGGCAGCTGGTTCGCATCTGGGCTGGTGACAATACCTTATACAACAATCTTGTGAGTGTCTTCATCTTCTTTACATTCTCTTTTACTGCTTCAGGTGTCAAGGGAGATATAAAGTCCTGCTTCATGCTTTTCTGGCTGCTTAGACCTTAGGCACATGGTGGTGCTGTAAAGTTTCTCTGATGTTATCTTCCCATATTGTACTTGGTCTACCTCTTGCTCTACGTCCCTCTCCTCTTTTGGTTTATGCATTGTATACTATAGCATCAGAAGGCATTCTCTCCAAGTGGGCAAACCATTTGATTTGCTGTCTTTGTAATTTAGAATTGGTTCTGTGCCGATTTTATCACATATGACCTCATTCTTGATTTTATCTCTTCTTTCCTACAGTCTTGTGTGTGTACAGCCAGCTTAACTGTCCATCAATGACAAACTGCAATTCTGGTGGTGCCTGTTGTTGATGGCATCTCAAGCGGCTGCATTATGTATTTACTGCATCTGCATTTTTCTTTATTTTGCAGGGGCTAACTGTTTCAAATGGGACAGCGAGGGACAATTTATGTGCTTTTCACTGGCTCAAGAATGAGCAAGTAGGAAACAATCCATTTGCAGTGAAGCTGAAACCTTGACTGTCTTCATATGCAACATTAAAAAATAAAAGCATATGACAAGAGTAAATACCTGATACTGAAAAAAGAAAAAACTCTGCACATCCCAATTATAACCCATGTGGGTTGTACAAGATACTGTAGTTGAAACTACTAAAGTATTCACAGCATTAATTATCCTTTGTCTCTTCCCAGCACAAGACCTGAGATGGTTAAAAAAAAAAATAAGTTAAAACAGTACTAACCTGGTGTTCTTTATCTTTTGAATGACGCTCCACCCACATACGTGGAACATGAATCTCTGCCAAGCCAATCAGAAGCTGGAAACCTGCTCCAAATTTCTGATTATCCACCATTTCTACATAAGCTTTTGAGGCTGTTTGCTGGGATTCAAAATCACATATATATATACACACACACACACACACACACACACACACACATATATATATATATATATATATATATATATATATATATATATATATATATATAAATGTGTGTGCACGTGTGTGTCGGTAAACTAATAAAAAGCTAGATGCTGTCAAAGTGCTATCGTAGAGAGTGAGCAGTCACAAGACACAAATAGATCAACCTAATCTGAAGAGGCTGATGAAGTGGGGGACTGACCAGGTAATCTGGTTAAATATAGGTTGAGAGAGAAATGCGTGAGAGCATGCATGATAACCTGCAGAAGCACAAATGACAGGAAGAGTGCTCAGGTGACTGTATGAAGGAACAAGGTTGAAAGATATGGATGAGGTTCCAAAGCGGTATGTGATTTGCAGCCAGAGTGAGAGTTTGTGTTTTGTTTTTATCTGACAGGAGAGTGTGTGGTCGTTTTTGGGGATAACAGAGTTGTGTCAACTTTTCCAGAGTTAATGAGGTTAGTGTAATGCAAATGTAAGTTGTTAGAATATAAACTATAAGAATGAATTTGTGAGTACATTAGAAGGCATTACCCTGTTAGAACAAGGGGATGCAATTATAAGACCTAATTAAATTCTGGAGATGAAATTCAGAGGCAGAATCAGGGGGGAGACAGTTGAGATTTTGGAACCGTCTAGGCCAGACGTTGTTGTTGCCACGAGTTTGGGGAAAGACTGTGATTTGTTCTCTTTATGAGGATGTTGTATTAATGAGGATTTTCCTTACCACAGTTAGCGGGAGTATATTGAGAAGAGTGTGTTGATTGTTAAGATTGTCATTCAAGATAATAGAGACTTATTATAATACATACATTATCATCATCATCTTGTGCCATGAATTTAATGTGAATGACATTAAAGTTTATGTGGCCTGTGACAAGTGGTTATTGTTGACTCTTTGAGATAGCCACACTTGTACTTGCTTCTGTTGGGCAAAGTGTGCCCAGGTGTTAAATTATAGAGGACTGCAAGTTTTATTAGCACATCCATCGAAGGGAGATCCAGCGGAATATTAGTGTAGGAACCCTAGACCTACATACTTGGTTGTTTTCCAGATACTGAGACGTATAAGTGCAGAGAAGTAACAGTATGTCCATAGTCTACATAAGGGGGTATATAAGAGTACAACAACTGTCCTTAGCTGAGCTGAGCTTAGAACCAGCATCACAATGCTCAGGACATTCCCATAAGTACCCAACACCCATCTTCAGCAGCCACTGTAGAATTCCAATCCCAATGGAACTGTCTTTGGTACGCAAATGCAACAACATCTAAACTACTGTGGGAGAAGTTCAGCAATGAATATCAAAAAGTCAGTTACCTTGACCCTAATCTTGTGAGAAGGACAATGTAAACTGCGTATATCAAAAGGCATCTCCACAGCAACCTGAACAGTTGTTCTGGTGGCATTCATTTTGTAGCTCTCTAATTCGTCCTGAGAAAATAAATAACAAAAGCTTCATTAAAAATTTTTTTAAAAACTTCTCATTTTGAATCAAAATTCAATTGCTTTTGGTCATGTAATACCTAGTGATCCCCTCCATGTTCTGGTGTCAATAATAATAGTCACTAATTAAACCTTTCCTTTTATGTATGTAAGTAGTTGGATTGGATTGGCTTTTTACCCCACCAGGACATCACACAAGCGATAAACACCCGATGACACAAAGTGCCACCATGGAGAGGTCCCAGAAACCGCGTTCAGACATTTGGCCATAATGATGACCTGCCTATATTGCGGCCCCTGGCAAAAGCCAGAGTGGGGCTTCAAATAACAAAAAATAACGTCCTAAGAAGGACGTACGACTCATTTTTGTAAGTAGTTGTAATTTTATCACAGTTATACTGTTCAGCTTGCCCGCATTATAAATGTGACATAAAAATGTATGTGTGTATGTATATATGCCTGTATGTAATGTATGCATGCATGTATGTATGTGTAAGTGAGTGGGTGAGCGTGTATGTGGGTGTATGTATGTATATGTGTGTGTGTATGCATGCGCGGATTTTTGCATGCACTTTACAACTCATGCTTTTGTGTTATTTTATAATATTCATAATATGCATATCATCATATGATCATAACATGCTTTATTAGTAAAATACAAATGCTGTGCGAAAGATGGTTGACTGGAAGGGCCGAATGTAAGACCGGCCTGCGTGCCTAATTTTTGACCCTTTGAAAATAAAGTGCGTTCGTTCGTTCTTGTTAGATGCTTGAATTTTTTTTTGTGGTTGGGAGAAGGGGAGGGGGGAGGGGGTGGTAAAATGTGTATCTTTTTAATATTGCATAAATTATAATAGATGATAAGCACTGAATATCATACATGTTAATATTATAGATCTTCTTCTGCCCTTAATTCCCTTGAGTAGCATAGGCCCTCAACCAGCTCAAGCCAAGTCATCCTATTCTCTTCTATCACATGCAGCTCAACCCATGTACTCCCTCTCTTTTGTAACTGTATGTCTAGCTCCCCTCTCTAGCTCCTTCTGTTGGTCTGCTTTCTTTATTTCTCTAATCCTGTGGGTTCCAGTGTAAAGACATTCTAATTATATTGTCCTCAGGTTTTCTTAATGAGCGTCCTACCTAGCACCCTTGTCTTTACTTTACCATGTCTTGATTCATTAGAGTTCGTTCAATTCTCTCTTAATACTTACATTTAGAAACGTGGTTTGAAAGATGAAAATATTGTATATTAGCTAGATTGGCTGAGTTAATCATTGTTTCTTTAAAAAGAATATGGCCGCCAAGTTATATTCTACATGCATGCCAACATAATTTACGGCTTTAGAAGCCTGAAATTTAAATAATGTAGGTGTTTATTTGATTTATCTGAAGTTAGATAGATAACGTTGCAAATTAGATGTGTTTCAGTAATTTACAGAGTCAAATTTTGATAAGGGATATGTCTTATGTGTACCTCACGCGAGGGGTACAACGACAGCAAAGTCAGCTGGCACAAATAGAATAAACAATTTTTAAAAAGACCATTTTCTTCAGTATCAGTTAGTTCTAGTGCTATTCCCCTTATTATTTAGGAACATAGATACAAAATTACAGGTAAACTGAGTGTTAAAAAAATTTCTTTTTGTGTGAACAGACATTTTTAGGAGTCCGTTTTTTTTATACCTAATAATGGTGCTCTGTTATGATGCTTCAAAAGATTATTTGGAACAAAATCTAATGTATAGATTGAGTTTATATTTTACTTATACATTACTAAGTGGTTCATATTCATTTGTGATTCATTTTGGATATATTTTAACCAGTTTTCCTTGAGTGGTAAGTGGACATTTTTTAAATTTTAATTTACTATTTTTTTTTTTTTAATATATACCGCCTGTTTATTTACTGATATTACTTACGCAATTATTTGTTGTGGCTATATTCTATAATTGTTCCTCAACAATCCCTGGTCACTTTGATGTATAATATGTGTATGTTGCACAGCAATTGAATTAGTATTGTGTTTTAATGTGTTACACTTGTGAAATTAAACATTTGCATTACCACCCCTTGGGCCTCTGATGCTAAACCCCCTTGGGCTCAAAAAGTTAAAGCTAAAAATTTTAATTGTAGTACAAGTTTTAATTCGAAATATTTCCTAGTCTTATGAAATCTCCTCTTGCCTAGTGTATTCATATTTTAATATCTCTGTCAGTTCCTCCATCTTTATCTACATTACTGTCTAAATATGTCTGTGACTTCACATCTTGAAGTGGGATATCACCAACAGAAATTAGATTATTGTCTGCCTGGTTTATTCTCATTATTACAGTCTTTCCCCTTTGGATTTTAATGATATAAGTTTTGCCTTTTAAAAAACTGCGATTTCCATACTGTGTTAGCCATATGCTGATGGCTTAGGCATTGAGATTGCACTTTGTAATTCCAAGATACCCAGTTCAATTTTAGATGCAGGTGATCTGACAGCAGACTTCTTTGCATTGATTTTGACAATGGTATCAAGAGCTGACAATTCAGAATGCAATGGCAAATTTCCTAGTAAAACCAAACAGCCAAGAAATGCCGGGGCTGGTTCTGCAGCATACTGTAAAGAAAACAAAACCATTTATCCATAGGTGGGGTATATTTAAAATTATTTGGCTATAAAAAAGGAAACAATCACTGCAGCTCACCTGGGTGGACAGTTTAAGTGCAGACTCTTCTTTCCAAGGAGCAACAGCAGCCGGAAGAAGAAAACTAATCTTCTCGTCCTCAATCTGCAGCTCTGCCACATAGGTGATTTTAATAAGGACACAGGCACGTGGTGGCAGGTTTCCAACACTGACAGTGAACATATCCTTAAAAGCAAAACAATCAAATGATTAGTTAATGTGCTTGTACCGTGGCCATTTTTGGCTATTGGCTGCTATCAATAAAAGGTAGAGTTTCTTTCTCATCATCATCATCATACTTTTTTTTACCATTATTATATATCATATATATCATATCATACTCTATTTCACTTTTCTGTTCTATCCTTTCTTCAAATGATTCAATGTCATGGATAGAATCCAGTCCAGCACCTTTGGCCTCTCTCATCAACATCTGTCTCAGGGTTTCTCTTGTATGTCCTTGTCTCCTCAGTTGATTTGCCTGACATTTCAAGTGCCTGTTTGGTGCTGCTCTGTTAGCTTCCTCTCAAAGTGTGCTCAGTATACTGCCATCTCCTTTGTATTATAACTGTTGATGCCAGCAGTTCCCAGGCATTCATTTCTATAAGATGTCCTAAATACTCTATTTATTGTTTCCTACTGAATTACACAGATATATTTTTTTTAAATTCTGCTTCTTCCTACTTCTTTTAACTCTTTGAGTCCCAAGAAACATGTCATATGTTCATAGATTCCTACCTAGAAGCCCAGTGAACGCAAGATGCGCCGATTTTACGTCTTTCTTGACTAAACCTTGGGCCTGTGATGCTAAACCCCCTGGGACTTAAAGAGTTAAATCTCCTTACAATCAATGAATTTGATTATTACACTTTCAGAGAAGTTCTCATGGTGAACTTGATCATTATGTGGAGTTCATCTTTAGTTTCACACAGCCAGGAGTTTAGAACTGATTCATGGGGCCAATACATTTTCCCAGTTGTGACATTTTAAAAATAAAGTTGGTTCATTCATTTTTAGCTCACTGTACAGAAGAAAACCTTCTACTGCAGTCACTTTAAAATGGCTGTGTTGGAGTTTACAGCTAGGCTGCAATATCAGCAGTACATTAATAGGTCATCTTTTTGACATGTTTGTTAAGAGGCAAAGTGTCTCTTTACTAAAACAGAACCCTCGAACCCACTCAGGAAGAGAAGACAATCCAGAAAGGCATGTTCAACAGTTTTTACGTTTGGTCCATATGAGGAGGAGCAACAGCAGCATATGAAGAAGATAATGCTAGTGGTGGTGATGATGATGAAGATGATGAAGGAGAAGAAACAAGAAAACGGCAACAAAATGACAAAGACAAAGCATGTGAGAAGTTTAGAAAGGGGAAAGCTAAGCAAGAAGAATCAAGTAAACCTACACATTTATAATTAAAAAAATGTGTGTACACTTACAGGGGTTTCTTCATCTTGGTCCATAAGGTAAGCACCGTGACCCTCACTGATGGCCTGCTTGTACTCTTTGTGAGCCACTTCTTTTTCCTTGACTTCTCCAATGATGTGTTTACCATTGATGAAAGCTTCAAAGCCACAGACAGCAGCAGCATCATCAAGTGGGAACACGTACTTGGCTTCAATGGCCTGGTGGCTGTTGTTGTAGTACTCCTGGAGAACCACTACCTGTGGGATGCAGACACTTAAGGTTTATCACAAAGTTGAAAGATGCTGATTAAAGAAAAAATATGGTCATTAGAGCACTTTCATTTTTGATCTGGCATTTTCAGACCCATGTCAGTTCAGGGGTCACATTGTAAAGGGGAAAAAAACAGACTCACTGCACCGCCTCTCCTATGATGAGTGCAGAATTGTACAAAAACCCTGGTATATAATGATGATGATGAAAGCAGTGGCAAGTCGCCTCCTCTCTCCCCTCCCATCTATTTTGTTCTCTAATTGTTCTTTACTCCTCTCCTTTCTCTTCTTTTTGTTCATCTTTATTTATGTCTTTGCCAACTTCTTCTTTTCCATCTAATTTATCCTCAGCCTTCCTTTTCTTTTCGTTCTTCCTTCTCACTTCATGACAATTACTTCCCAAGTGATGTGATTACCTGTATAGATGGATCTGTGCTGAGGAGGAGACAAAGTGCATGAGGGTTTTAAGCAAAGGCGAATGGACGTCGCTTAGTGCAGCAAAGCCTTGCATATGATATCACAACATCTAGTTTGAGAATGGAGGTGGAGGCAGTCTCTGTTGTGTTCCGCTGGCTTGAGAATCAGCTATATACACACACACACACACACACACCGTGATAGTAACTGACTCACAGAGGATGTTAAGAAAGGTGAAGAGAGGCATTTTCGTGCAGAGTTGCAAGCATCACTTTAGAGGTCCCCGGTAGTCAGCATCCTTTAGATATTTTCTCCAGGGGATGCCAGTGTGTTGGTAAATGAGCTGGCAGATAGACTGGCCAGCTCTACACCACTTGGTGGTAAATTGGTTAAGCTAGATATTGTGAGGGCCCTTTGGGAATCAGTGAACAGTGCAGAGGCACAGACAGATCATTAAGGTCTAAGGAAAATGGCGGGGTGAGGAGTTACCAGGGAATCTGACTCTCAGGGGAAAGGATGAGATGGATATACAATCAGATGGTTACTGGTGCCATCGGAACTGGAACTCTTCACTTGCTGCTGAAGATGGGGATGGAGCACTTATGTAAGTGCCCCGAGTGCTGTGATGTTGATTCTTAATTTAACATTTAATATTCATTCATCATTTCATTTTCTTTAGCATTTAAGTGATGTCAGAATGAAGCCACTATCTTGTTCATGTCTAAGCTGAAGCATCACAACTTCGACTACAGCTCCAAACCATCTAGTAATGTCTAGATGACATATAAAATCAGCAACCAAACCTATCAGTTTAGCTCATGAATGATCTATAACAGAAAAAAAAAATCAAAATACAACTGTGTGTATACCTGAGCAGCCAAATCAACCAGTTTGGCTCTGACATGCACACATCGTAACTCCACTTCTTTGCCTCCTGTACCAATGAGCCCTGGCTTGACCTTTGCCATAGGATCAGCAATACCAGTCACATCATTAAGGCCTGTTACAAAGTCATACATGGGTATATTATATGTAGCAAAAATACCCACAGCCAATCAGCAGATTCACAAAATATAGTTGGACATCCGATAAGAGCACAAATACAAGTCATAGAATGGACAATTTGGCTAGAAAGCTTTCATCAGTGTGCTAAAACAAAAAGGCACTAATATAACTGTTTTTTTTTTTTTTTTAAAGTATACAAAAGTCAGCAAGCCCTTAAAGCCTGAGTTCAGGTTAAACACTAGGGCACAATCAACAAACTGTGTCCCACAAAGGTCAAAGGTGAGCTGAGAAGAACTGACATAATGAGGTAAGCAATGTTCAAAGATTAATTATATAGCAAAGGTATAAGTGGGATAAGTACAAAAAGAGCTTAAATGAAAGATCAGTGATGGGTAAGAGATGAGGAAAGGCACTGGTTACATGAACCTGTGCCTGACAGTGATGGGTAAGAGATGAGGGAAGAGAATGGTTACATGAACCTGTGCCTGATAGTGATGGGTAAGAGATGAGGCAAGAGAATGATTACATGAACCTGTGCCAGAAAGTGATGTGTAAGAGATGAGGGAAGGGAATGGTTACATGAACCTGTGTCAGACAGTGATGGGTAAGAGATGAGGGAAGGGAATAGTTACATGAACCTGTGTCAGACAGTGATGGGTAAGAGATGAGAGAAGGGAATAGTTACATGAACCTGTGCCAGACAGTGATGGGTAAGAGATGAGGGAAGGGAATAGTTACATTAACTTGTGCCAGACAGTGATGGGTAAGAGATGAGGGAAGGGAATAGTTACATTAACCTGTGCCAGACAGTGATGGGTAAGAGATGAGGGAAGGGAATAGTTACATTAACTTGTGCCAGACAGTGATGGGTAAGAGATGAGGGAAGGGTATAGTTACATTAACCTGTGCCAGAAAGTGATGGGTAAGAAATGAGGGAAGGGAATGGTTACATGAACCTGTGCCTGACAGTGATGGGTAAGAGATGAGGGAAGGGAATAGTTACATGAACCTGTGCCAGACAGTGATGGGTAAGAGATGAGGGAAGGGAATAGTTACATGAACCTGTGCCAGACAGTGATGGGTAAGAGATGAGGGAAGGGAATAGTTACATTAACTTGTGCCAGACAGTGATGGGTAAGAGATGAGGGAAGGGAATAGTTACATTAACCTGTGCCAGACAGTGATGGGTAAGAGATGAGGGAAGAGAATGATTACATGAACCTGTGCCAGACAGTGATGGGTAAGAGATGAGGGAAGAGAATGATTACATTAACCTGTGCCAGACAGTGATGGGTAAGAGATGAGGGAAGGCATTGGTTACATGAACCTGTGCCAGACAGTGATGGGTAAGAGATGAGGGAAGAGAATAGTTACATGGACCTGTGCCAGACAGTGATGGGTAAGAGATGAGGGAAGAGAATGGTTACATGAACCTGTGCCAGACAGTGATGGGTAAGAGATGAGGGAAGGGAATAGTTACATGAACCTGTGCCAGACAGTGATGGGTAAGAGATGAGGAAAGAGAATGATTGCATGAACCTGTGCCAGACAGAGATGGGTAAGAGATGAGAGAAGAGAATGGTTACATGAACCTGTGCCAGACAGAGTTGGGTAAGAGATGAGGGAAGAGAATGATTACATGAACCTGTGCCAGACAGTGATGGGTAAGAGATGAGGGAAGAGAATGATTACATGAACCTGTGCCAGACAGTGATGGGTAAGAGATGAGGGAAGAGAATGATTACATGAACCTGTGCCAGACAAAAAACCCACTTGATAAATATTAGGCATTTGCATTCTTTTTCATGAAAAAGACTTGAAAACAAAGATAACAACCTTGTACACTATGCAACAAAGAAAGTTGGGTCAACAATTTTCAGTATACATAGATATTATGGGGTGCTGTCATGGTGAAGTGGCTAGACACTCCCATGTGAATTGGAAGGTCATGGGTACAGATCCTGTTGGAGCCAGACTGTTTTAAAAAATGACCTTGGCTCTCAGGTTGACCTAGCCTTAACTCTTTAAGGCCCATGCATTTTGACAGACTTGGCTCACATTAACATGAAATTATCATTATCTTCTTTTTCTTATACATTCACTCCTAACACTTTTCAGTCCCATGAGCTTCTCACAGCAAATGTCCAAGGGAATTAACTGCCATAATGAAAGGTCATGAATGCCTAATTATCAAACAGGCAAGTTATAAAGCAGAAGTAGTCAGTCTGTGTCAGCTCTGTGGCTAAGTCGATGCGAACGCTTTGTAATGCTGGGATGCCGGGTTCGATCCCCGCTGCGGGCCATGGGCCTTGCATTGGTTTCACCAGTGGTATCAACAAGAAAGCTGACCGTCCAGGAAGCAATGGCAAACTACTGGATGTAAATTTGCTTAGGAAAACCACACAACAGCCAGGGGCTGTTGGGATTGGTTCTGCAACGTCCTGTAAAGGATAGGCAACTAACCTTAGTCAGTCTGTAAGCTATGTTTCTTCGTTTGACTGGCCAAAAATAAAACTGGGATGATCAAATTACAAATGGCTGGGATTCATGGGAAAAAGTCTGTTACACATCACAAGGTGTTAAGGACTGAAAGAGTTAAAAGTGTTATTAGCCCACTGTGTTTGGTATACAGCTGGGTGGCAATATATGTGCCTTTCAGCTCAAAACATCCAATACTCAATCGTCCTCATTATGAAGGATGCAATTTTTTAGTTATTTTGAAGCCCCACCATGGCTTTTGCCGGGGACCCTAAATATAGCCGGGCCTGAAATATGGCCTAAAGGCTGAACAGGATTTCTGGGACCTCTCTACGGGTAGTCCTCATCCACATGGTGGTCCTTTGTGTCACCGAGTGTTTGTCGTTTGTGTGATGTCCTTGTGGGGTATAAGTTACCTACCTACCTAAAACATCTAGTTTCAGCAAACCTTAATTTTTACCTCATGCCTGTTAAGGGGAAGTGGGTTATTGTATTCCCCTAAAAATGGGGCCTTGGAACCCGCTGGGGATTATTATCTTTTAATACACAAACTTCCAACAAAAGTTTACCACCAGACAGGGCACATCAAAGAGCTCTGTTACTTAGACATAATGGAGTCAAATCCAGAGGTCAACCATGCAAGCGATGGATAGTTGGAATATCTGAGGTCGTAAATAGCAGCATCTAGGTAGCACATTCCAAGGCTCACACCTGATGCCTCTTTAAAACCCTATGCTGAAAGACAGATCGGGATTAGATCAAAAGAAGACTTCAGACAGACACAGACATGGACAAAAATCATAAACATACTGGTTTTTTCAACAATTTCACAAATGTTGCTGCTATCTACTGTGTCAGCCCTCTTTAGAGGTGTCACAATGTCCGTATGCATGGTGAACTCTACCAGGTAGCGAATTCTTTGCTGGTTGACAGAGTACACAACAAATTCATCATTCTGAAAAAAAAAATTAAATAACATCATTAAATTAAGATAACTGTGACTTAGCTGGGAATGAAAACATTAGGTTAGAATAGAACCTAACTAACACAAATCCCAATGAACCACAAATTAACTTCATATTTAAAACATGTGTTTGAATTGGGAATTAATAATAATAATAAAAACAGTACATCGCTGCAGAGACCAACATTTTGCTTCTGTTAACTGAATGTTCTTCTTAAGTGAATTTGTATTACCTCAGTTAAACTATAGTAACTTAATATAATTGTGAAATACATTTGTACACACTAACACACATATATCGTATCAGCAACCTATAAACCATCTCTATGATTTACAGTTAATAATATAATCTCCTTCTTCTTCTTCTTCTTCTTCTTCTTCTCTCTCTCTCTCTCTCTCTCTCTCTCTTTCTCTCTCTAACACACACACACACACATACGTACGCACGCACGCACGCACACACACAAATCAAACACATAAGAATAAGACAATTAACTGGAACTGTTAAAGAAAGGGAGACAACTAAAAGGAGGCAGGTCATACAAAAAACAAGAAAAGATCGTCTTCTCCAGCAACAGTTAACATTCGAAAACTCAGACTGATCTGAACAGCAGCCTAACCACCTCCTCCGGGGCTGAGTGGTTTTGAGGTAGGACATCTGTCACGAGTGCTGAAGGTCCCTGGTTCAAGCCCTGGTGCCTAACAGCACTGCCAGGGCAAAAAATTTGGAGTTAAAAATTAAAAAAAAGTATTTCAGGATCCTCATAGGTGCAACGGAGTTGGAAGTAAAACGAAACACTTCTGTGTTGCACCCGTGTGCCATGAAGCTGATCTGTTGAATAAACAATAAACAAACAAAAAACCTACTCTGTGACTGATTGTTGATGATTTAATTTCCTACTGCAAAAAAAAAACTGACAATCACACAGGAAGTGACACAATAACATACCTCGAATTCTGATGACTTATCCCACTTCCTGCTGACCCCATGTGTGCTGTTGTAGCCCTCAGGTGGAGCCACTAGTGTGGTGTCATGTTTGTTAAAGTCCTTGCAGGAGCCAAGGGCAACCTCATTCACCAGCAGCAGACGTGACCCTTTAGTTTTACTTGGGGATGAGTATCTCATACTTTTGCTGAAAAGTAACATACATTTACATGATGAAATCACTGTACATTTGGTTTAGTGACAGATTCTTTATTTGATAAAATATAACCTCAATTCAATTGCTCAGACATTTAATTAATATTTCAACTTATAAATCAATCAGTCAATAAATCAAAGTCAGCAGTAAGTCAATTAATAGTTATTCAGCCACACAATAAGTCAATCAGTCAATAAATCATTAAGTCACTCAATAAAACAGTCAGCCAATGAATCATTAACTTGTTGAGTATCAGGCGGTGGTGGTATAGTTGGCGGATGTCCACAATTTTCATGTGATTGAGGCCTTGTTTTGGGCCGCCATAATATATGGCTGTTATTCGGAGGATTGCCGACCCCTCAATGAAACACTGGCCCTCCAGTGCAGCAGCCACCTCAATCTACCAATCAATTTTATATATTAAAAAAAAAAAATTGGCTTCACTGAATCTTTCTTGCTGAGCATTACCAGAATGCAGACTAGAAAAACTAAAAGTTACAATAAACAGAGGATGTAACACATCTCAAGCTATTTATTACCTGGCAGAACTTGCAAAGTAGATCCCACTTCCTAGCATTCCAGCATCCGAGCGCTGACCACCAAAGTCATCGACAATTACCTTTGGTAAGAGCAGCCCTCTGAAATGAACAAAGTAAAGATTAATTTGTTTCTTCTGGGACAATCAAAGTTAATGATACAACTAAATGTTGTTAAAGCGGTAAGCGAAGGTTGATTTCAAAGGATATGAACTTCAAAGTAATTAATAAACAGTAGCAGAGATTTTAAAACCTTTGAAAGAAGGACACATCATAATATTCTGATAAACTAATTTGAAATATTTTAGTTAACATTACCATCGGGGTGTCATTGAAACTTGTGTTACTGCCACTAAGACATGCAGTTTTTACATTTGTAAAGGAACATATTTCAACTCTCTCAATCTCAGGGCATTATTGTTACTTCCCAAAGTCCTAAGTCCTTAAAGCCTTTAGAGTAGCCCGTTATTTAGTTTTAATGAGTTAAAACAAGATATCACTGGGACAAAAAGAGTTTAAGTAACAACTGGGATAGAATGGTTTAAAATAAAACATTAATATATTAGTAGTAGTTTAGAAATATTTACTGTGTGTAGTAATCAACAAATTTATGGTGAACTGCTTGGTACCGAAAGAGTTAACTGTGACTATGAACTGTTTTCATCTAACCAAAATCAAGCCTGGAATTTTTTGGCTGTGGTACATACCATTGTCAAAATCAAGTGATCTGCTTAATGAACACCTTCAGTTATTCGAAACAAACACCCAAACACTTATAGCAATTTTGCTCACCTGGATAAAATTCCCACGAAATTCTCCACCTTTGATGAGTGAAACAAAAGTTCCTTTCTGTCTAGATCGTGACGAAAGTCTAAATCTTCAGTCCATCTCCATACCTCAAAGACATTGAGCACACCAAGATTCTCAGTAGGACTTAGGTAAAAAAAAGAAAAGTATTTTTTTTTAATCATGAGTGCACAGACAAACATCTTTATTTTATGTTACGGAACAGTTACAGATCACAGTAGACTAGTAATCTCAGTAACATTTTCTTCTATTTCAGTCACTGTAATATTTGTTCTCTCTGTTATTATAATCATAAAGTTCCTTTCTAAGTGGCATGGGGAATCTAGACCTGTAATCTCCATCAGTCTGTGTACTGACACTTTTTTTTTGCGTTGATGAAAGGCTGACAAGAATCTTCTCAGATTGTCTACCTCCTCTATCTCTGTTTTCCTAAACATGAAAATAAGCCACTTTCCTGCTACCGAGACACCTATTTAGACACCACCAAAGACAAATATCGTTCACCCATGAGTCAAAAGGTCGTGGGATTGGTTCCTGGTGGAGCCGGAATTGTTTTTCTCAAAAATGACCTTGGCTCTAAGGTCGACCAAGCATTGAGTGGGTACCAGTTACAGTCCTGGGAAGTAAAGGCAGCCAGCATGATGGTGACCACATCACCCACCCATTGTCGACTGGTCCATCAAATATAGGTCTAGCCCTGTATGCCCAATATGCCTAAAGGCATGGAAAAATGTCTTTTATTTACTTTACTTACAAATATGAACTTCTGGCCAAAATGGAGGAAAGGCTTGGCAGAATGTTAAGCTCCAAAGTTATTTTTGCTTCCGACAGCACTTTGCTAATGCAGTTTCCACTTAAGGACGGAAGTCTATGGTTTCACTGCCTGAGCTTCTGAGTTAAGTGCTTGGTTGCAGCCCTGTGAGCTGTGTTTTTCCTAGTGACAATTGTTTGCTTTGGCGCCTCTAGCAACTGAAATACGCATTTACTGTGGGCACATATTTCTTTATTGTTCCAGGACTAGCTGTTTGTTTACCAGTTTTTTTTTAAATGAGACAGTGAGGGAAATTTCACTTGATTCGCACTGACACAGGAATGGAGCAAGAATGAGGAAAACCCAATTGCTGTGATGCTGAAATCTCCACAAAGACTAAGACTCACAAAAACAAATATGGATGGACAGATGGATCTATAAAAATAGGTAAACAAATGGCAAGAGGGAATTAACTTAGGTTAAAATAGGATATTTAAATCTAACATCGAAACAGTACTGCAGTGTGGATCAGATTACTCATAAAATTGGTTTCTATGCAGATTAGAATGCACAAAAGGATTTGATATAATGGCTAATCCAATCCAGGGTTTATGGAGCATTCTAAACAAATGACAGTAAATCCCTGGAATTTACAGGATAAAAGAGATCAAGAGATATAAAAAAAATCTATGAAGAATAGAATTAAGACAATTAATAATATGCAGAGGATCTGCAGGATATAGCAAAAGAAATTGAATTTGGTGTAAGTTGGTTGAGGGCCTGAGCTCCAAGGGATAAAGGAAAGAAAACAAAATAAACAAACCTCAATACTGCTTACCTTTCCAGAGATGATTGTATCAGATTTACAATATCCTGCTTTCGATTCCCACCAAGTTGTGTGATTCGGCAACGTAAGGCCGCATATTTGGCCTCAATACATGCCCTTGTTTCATAGTTAGTCATCTCACTGACTGCCATCATGTCTTTGATTAGCTGTTGGATTTTAAAATATATAATGTTATTTCTCATTGTATTCAATTCTAGTCTTGATAGTAACATCAGTACATTGCTGACAACTGACAAACAACACCAATACAATGTGAGGTGGCAAGAATTGCAAATGAAGTTCAACAAGGACCAACCAGAAGAAATTTGTGAACTTTGTGTTCTCCTTCTTAGTGTTCACTGGTTGTAAACTCTGGTAGAAAGTCGTAGTTGTTTATCCACTTCTCGATGGTGGCCTTGTGCCAGAACTTGAGTGTTGTTTGTGCATTCATTTAACAGATCTGGCATATTTGTGTGCAGACTGTTGGTTCTTTGCCTCTCATGCACATGCACTCTATGTTGATCCTATCTACGATGACCAGACTCCCAGTAGGAAACCATTTTCTAGGAATAACACAGACAGGTATAAATAGGTCTTCAGCAGTTTGTGTCCTCATTCTGGTGGACCAGCATGAGTTCAGCACCTCTGCATCACATCCCCCCAATATGATGTTGACCATATACCCTGCCCATACTACCCAAGAATGTTCCATCCCAAGACTGGCTTTATCTGTCAACTGCCAAGAGAAATTTCATTGTGCCAATAGTAGACGAAAGGATTGGTCCTCGTCACTTGTGATGAAGAATACTAACAGAATACTTATAAATCAGATAGTAAAATGATACAATCTTAATTATGAAACAGCAACATTATTACAAAATTACTTTGGTTCCCAGGTCGACCCAGCCTTGAGTGGTACCAGGTACAAGTCTTGGGAAGTAAAGGCGGTCGGCGTGATATTGACCACATGACTCACCAAGTACTGATTGGTCTATAAATATAAGTCGTCATATATGCCCAATATGCCTAAAGGCGTGGAAAAGGGTACTTTAATTACTTTTACTAACATTATTACAATGTTGACAAGCTGATAATTGCATTAAGCATATTTTTAAAATTATTAATCTGTTCAATATTTTTCTACTTTTAGACAATTACATCACATAGTTTAAATGTGGAGTCAGTGTAGCACAGTGGCCAATGTTTCAGACTCATGACCCTGAGTTCAAATACCCTAGAAGCTGGAATTTACACCATCATGCAAGCCATTCATGCTCCAAAACTCAAAGCAAGTTGTTAACTAAAAACACTCACAGTGGTTTTAAATGCCACAACACATCATCAATTACACATCTCAACATCTTTCTTAAATGTTTGTTTTATTCAAGACAAAGTATTATAGTCTTCTGTGTTGTTTGTACATTTTTCCAGTGTTTGTTTTTTGAACTAAGCTTGGTTAATATAAATTTCTGTAACCTATGGTGCCATTTCAATGGTTTGAGATGAATTCTGTCAATATTTCATAGTTGTGAATTTCAAGCTGTACAACAATGAAGACACCTTTTTTTAGGGGTGCCGAGTTGGTCATGTTTTTAGTACACTTGTTTCCATAGCGAGGCGCACAAGACAATTCTCAGCACTGTAACTGCAGCTTTCAATCGTTATGTTGTCTAGTGTGTCCTTCTATCTTTTTACTTCTTTCTGTGAGTGGTTATCAATACATTCTGTATTTTTATTATAAATACAACATCTACCCAACAAGGCTATAAAATCATTATGTAGGCTGTCTCTACACACGTATACTTCTATATTTTACATTATCCCAAAATACTAGATGTTCTATAGTCAGTGGCTTAGGGTTACGAATAGGGTTTATAACTCCAAAATACCTGGTTTGATTCCAGCTGCAAGCAATTTGGCAACAGACAACTCGAGTTGATTTGACAATGGTGTGGAGCACTAACCATGCAGAAAGCAAAGCCAAACTGCCAATTTTTGCCTTTATTATACCAGTTTTGCAGTGTAAGCAGAGAGTTCTTTAGCCTGAGGATACACAGCCGCATGGCTAGTGCTGTCACCATGAACTATGCAGGAGAGCATTTTATTTTTGCCCCCAAACTACTGAACTTAAAATTGCCTAGTAAATCCATGTTAGTTGTTTATTCCTTACAGGACGCTGCAGAACCAACCCTAGCATTTACGTTCAGTAGTTTGACATTGCTTACTGAATGGTCGGCTCTCTGTACCACTGTCGAAACCAACGCAAGAAAAATCGTCCACAGCTGGGATCAAACCTGGCGCCCCAGCATTACAAAGCGTGTTCGCAATGCCCAAGCCACAGACACTGACAAAGCCATAACAACCATAAACAATCACAAAATGCTGGGGTTGCTTTTCAAATGTCCTGACTGACTTACTGACTTTCTACTCCACCAGGACATCACACAAGCGATAAACACCTGATGACACAAAGTGCCACCATGCGGATGAGGATCGCCGAGGAGAGGACCCAGAAACCGTGTTCAGACAATTGGCCATATTTATGGCCTGCCTATATTGTGGCCCCTGGCAAAAGCCAGGGTGGGGCTTCAAATAACAAAAAATTTCGTCCTAAAAAGGATGAAAAAATATTTCAAATGTCCTGTGAAGGATATGCAACTATCTTTCCTTATCATGACCTAGAAAGCATGAACAGGAATGTTTTTTAATTTGTTAAATTTTGTGTTGTACTTTTTTTCACAGCAGCTTTTTTTTTTTTTTTTAGTCAACTATCTGACTTCTTTAGACCTCTGTAAGTTGGGTTAACTTTCCCAGCTAATATTCTGAGAAACACTGCACAGTTTTATAGTTGTGACATCATCTTTACCTGCTCAGTGACACTTGGTGTCCCAAACAGGCCTTACTAGGACAGCCACATGCATGGGAGGCAACCCCTAGGGAATGCAGGAGTAGAAAATGAGCACTCCCCACCAAACAAGGAATCTGTCATAATTACAGAAACATCATATGTTCGTTATCTACATCAGCGACCAGGTCGCCTGGCCGGTAGATGACTTTGTTTCCAGTCAGGAAGGTGTTTGGGCCTGGACACCAAATCAACACTGCAAGTCTTTTTCATGGCTACTTGGTGGTGAGCACTTTTAAGCCATATCACATGGCACAAATAAACACAGTCATAATTATAACCAAAAGCATTTGTTGCCAAGGTTAGTTATCACAGAAAACAACACATTATATTCTGGTACTGGGCTCAAAGATAATTTATATGATATACTATTCAAAGAAAAATATTCATAGCTCCTGAAAGGAAAATAACTGTGTCAGTATGTTGACATTCAAATTCCTTGTAATTTAACAAATGAAACTGTTCAAATTGCACACAAAAGTACCTTAGAGTTCAAACAATCAACTGATAATTTTTTGGTATCTGGGTCATCAATATATTTTTAGATGTACAGGCCTTTCCATCAACTAAAAAAAAGGCGCCATCGGATAACAATGCATTTTTTTTAAACAATATAAATACTGAAATATATAATATGGACATCACAACTGTCTCCAAGAAATGATTATATGATGAAACACCTAAGCACTGTACCTGGCACATATCCTGTTTCTTTGACAGCCACCTTTTTATTTCATTCATGTTTGGTTTTTTATCCGCATGAGGTAAAGCTGAGTAAAAGTCTTCTATTAGGATCTGGACTTTCTTTTCAGGAGAAGAAACCTTCAGTGCATCACGCACTTTCACCAGGATAGCCTCAGCCTTTTCCACCTGCAGAACAAATGTAGTTTTGTTGCAACATTAGCTTCTTTTTTTTTTGCAACCATAGGTTTTTAACTTAGTTTTGTCTTTCTATTACAAAAAGATTTTTTGTGTTTTTTAAATAACCGCTACTTCACATTAATAAATAGTTTTTAAGTCTGAAGCTATCTATCTTTCCAGGTAATTGTACATTGTGATATAGACAGGCATGGGAACCACTGCTCATGATGATGACGAAGGAGACTAGCAAGACCAGATATCAGCAATAAGTGCATAGGATTTCAGGATGCTTGTGGCATGTTATTTGTGTTTTCTCAGACTTAAATTAGAATTAAATTAATTAGAATAAAACACTACAGATAGATAGAGAACCGGAAGGGAAAATAAAACAGGGAAGACCAAGACAGGCCCTGAGTAGAACCATCATCAGGGAAGGCTCGGCGATAGATCTAATGAACATCCATGACCTAAAACAGGTGACGACAAACCACCATACATGGAGAGCTGTGATCTCTGCCCCATGTGCTGCCTTAGGCTTAAGAGGAAAGACTAACTAACTTTAGAACATCAAGAGTAGCAGTGGGATAGTAGTTAGCGCAACCACGTTTAACCCTCTTCTTCTTCTACTTTTAGTCCATGTTATGTGGTGCTGGTAGTAATGTCCATCTATAAACCTCTGTCACGTGGACTTTCAGTCAGTTCTAACATGAATGATCTTCCATGCCATGATGTCAAACTGTCTAGCTTCTTCTCCATCAGTCTTCCTCTGCCTCTTTCCCCTTCACCTTTCTCCAGCCATTCTCACCTACCTGGCCTTAATTCTTAATTTAACTCCTCCTGTCCATAATGCTATTAGTATAACTCTTCAGACTAAAACTGTTGGCACCTTTCTATGTTTCCAGATGATAGTGTTACACTGTGCTATGAGAAGGCATGTGGTTCACAGCCCATGGCGATGGTGAGCGTCACTAACAAGACCTGCAGGCATTAAGAAGAGTCTTCCACAATCAGAGCATCTGCTTTCAGGACCTTTGCTGCCATCATATATGTTTAGTTTGCTTCTCATCCTTTCTGCAATCATTTATTTCTTTATTCTCATTCCCTTCCTGATTTGCCCTCTCCAAGCAAGACCGTCCGTGACATTTTGTTCCCACAATTCTACCACAATACCTGTATCATTCAAGTCCTACATGCACACATCTTTATACTGTATTAGAGGCCAGCTTCAACATGTTCTACCCATCTGTAATTCACAAAAGAGGATGTCCTTAGGGATGCTACCATCCTTCATTCTCCAGGTGTGACTCAGCCACCAGAACCTATGGTGACTGGACATTCAGAAAACTGTTCTAATACCTGCTCTTTCAAATACCTCAGTGTTTGTGATCTTGTCTTGCCACTTTATGCCAAGTAGTTTTCTTAGTCATTGCATGTGAAAGCTATTTAGCCATTTCTCCTGGTATGAATAAGTTGACCAAGTTTCAATACCATAAAGTGAAGTGCTGAGAACACATGTCTGAAAGACATGTTTTTTTGACTTGATCATTGATTCAGACCAAAATATTGATAAATTAAACATAAGAAGAATCTGCTTCACTTCCTTGGACATCCATGTCAACTTCTAGCTGAGATTTAGTATTCAACAAAGTCTGGACACAAAAGCCAAATATACATATTGTAAGCAAATTGAATTTTTAACAACATTTGATTCAGTTGGAATATTAAAAAATGTTTTCAATATGATTTCCACCACCTGCAATGCAAAGGTTGTGTTTTTGCAAAAATCATGTGAATCCAATGTAGTAAATCCAAACTGTCATAATTTTTAACACATTCACTTTTATTGCTTAGGTGACCAGATTAGGGACACCCTTATAGAAAAAGATTGATAAAATTCCTTACAAGAGAATGAGTTAAAGTAACCTCTGCTTGATACTAAAAGAGTCAAGGCCTAATACTTCACACTGTCTGCTTTCGAGCTATAGAGGAACCCACATGGGAAATTGTGTTAAGGACTGAAGTCTGTCACACACATGGGGGTCTACTGAAGAACTCTTTACTTCAGAACATAAGCAGCACAACAAGTAAGACTGAGGTAAAGGTACAAATAAACTGTGGATACTAACCTGTTCTAGCTTTATTTTCTTGATATCTCCTAACACAGATGTGACTTCATCCATGGCCTCTCTCCACACATGATCTACCAGCTCTTTCACTTCTTCACTAATGTCATTATCCACATCAACCACCTCAGCAATTAACTGCAATATAGAGAAGCATGTTTGAAATCTGCTCTGTCAATATAAACCTACATATGTTACTTGTGCCAGTCATTCCTATACTGGTTTGAGCTGAATTACTTTTGAGATGGCTGCTACAATTGGCAGTGGGTAGTAACACTGATTTTGATAAAATAACACGGGTGTGAGTAGAGATGCTTCTACTGGTTGTTACACTGGAACAATGCACAATTACACTGATTCTGATCAAATATGAGTTGGGTGTGAGCTGGGGTACTTAGAATGATGCTTCATTGAAGCAATAGTCAGTTACATGAGCTGAGTTACTTTAGGATGGATGCTACATTGAAGCAATAGGCAGTTACAAGAGTTGAGTTACATTAGGATGGATGCTACATTGAAGCAATAGTCAGTTACATGAGCTGAGTTACTTTAAGATGGATGCTACATTAAAGCAATAGGCAGTTACATTGATTGTGATAACATAAGATGGGAGTGAGCTGAGGTACTTTGGGATAAATGCTACATTGAAGCAATAGGCAATTACATTGATTGTGATAACATAATCTGGGTGTGAGCTGAGATACTTTATGATGTATGCTACATTGAAGCAATAGGCAGTTACATTGATTGTGATAACATAATCTGGGTGTGAGCTGAGATACTTTATGATGTATGCTACATTGAAGCAATAGGCAGTTACATTGATTGTGATAACATAATCTGGGTGTGAGCTGAGGTACTTTAGGATGTATGCTACATTGAAGCAATAGGCAGTTACATTGATTGTGATAACATAATCTGGGTGTGAGCTGAGGTACTTTAGGATGTATGCTACATTGAAGCAATAGGCAGTTACATTGATTGTGATAACATAATCTGGGTGTGAGCTGAGGTTCTTTAGGATGTATGCTACATTGAAGCAATAGGCAATTACATTGATTGTGATAACATAATCTGGGTGTGAGCTGAGGTACTTTAGGATGTATGCTACATTGAAGCAATAGGCAATTACATTGATTGTGATAACATAATCTGGGTGTGAGCTGAGGTACTTTAGGATGTATGCTACATTGAAGCAATAGGCAGTTACATTGATTGTGATAACATAATCTGGGTGTGAGCTGAGGTTCTTTAGGATGTATGCTACATTGAAGCAATAGGCAATTACATTGATTGTGATAACATAATCTGGGTGTGAGCTGAGGTACTTTAGGATGTATGCTACATTGAAGCAATAGGCAATTACATTGATTGTGATAACATAATCTGGGTGTGAGCTGAGGTACTTTAGGATGTATGCTACATTGAAGCAATAGGCAATTACATTGATTGTGATAACATAATCTGGGTGTGAGCTGAGGTTCTTTAGGATGTATGCTACAATGAAGCAATAGGCAGTTACATTGATTGTGATAACATAAGATGGGTGTGAGCTGAGGTACTTTAGGATGTATGTTACATTGAAGCAATAGGTAGTAACACTTACTCCTCATGTTGGTTCTGCGACCCCATTGTGGGGAAAACAAGAATAGACCCACTGCCTCCCCAACAAGAATGTGGTAAAAGTTGACTTATTGGGTGCTTTCTTCGAAGTCGGAGTGCATCTGCCTGAGAGGCAAGGAACCAACAATCTGCATACAATGAAGTCAGATCTGTTAAACGGATGTGTACGTAACACTCAGATTCTGGAACAAGACTAAAGTCCAGAGGTGGACAAACAGCCAGAACTTTCCACTGGAGTTCACAGCCAGTGAACGCAAAGAAGAAGAAGAAGTTACACTGACTGTGATAACATAAAATGTAGTGAGCTGAGGTACTTCTATTCACTGCTAAATTGGTGCAATAGGCAATTACACTGCTTGTGATAACATAACATAACCTGGGTATGAGCCATGCTATGTGAGATTGATGCAACATTGGAGCAATTGGCAGTTACACTGATTGTGATAACATAAAAACATAAAAAACAGTAGTATGAGTAGAGGTAAAGTTATTGGCTGTAACAGAGAAACAATCAGCACGTATTGAGATGCCAAATGTGCAGTGGCCTGGACTGTAATAACATAAACATGTTGATGAGAGTGGCAAAAGATGCTGAACTGGATTTCATCGATGAAACAATTGCAAAAGATAGAATACTTTTTACTTGTTGCCCATACCAACATCCTCGCACATCGGTCTGACCCATTCATACTCAACCTCTGATGCAGCAGCCATCTCAGTGTCTCCACTCCTAATAGGATTTGATTGATATATCTTCTTTCTTTGTCCCACCACCAATTTCTACATGATTCTAATTTCAGATAGAAAGGAATGGAACAATAAGCTGTGTGCCCAATGTGTTGTGTAATGGTACAACATAATGAGGATGATGGATGATGGTGAGGTAGTGGTGATGATGATGATGGTGGTGGTGAGGTAGTGCTGGTGTTGATGATGATACCTTTGGACAAACTCTACCTTCTGAAGCTTTGGAGATCCAACACCTCGAACTGGATGTTTGCACTTAGTCAGCTCCCCTTTCTTTTCTATATCTTCATACAGCATGGCAAATACGGTCAGAGCCTGGTCAGCAGTGGACACATAACGAACCTCAGAGTGGTCAGGTTTGCCTGCCTGTTTCAATGAAACAGTTATTAGTTTTAAAAAGACATTAGTAGCCTGTTTGTAGTTTTACTAGGGAAATTTATGTCAAGCAGTTTGCCATTGCTTTGTGAACACTTGATGCAGATATATTGTCGACATGCCTAATTGCCTGCAAATGACTATACCAGGTATTTTAGAATTATGAAACTGCACTTATGACCCTAAGCCACAGATGCCAACAATTATTAGTAAACTGGGGAACTTTTATCTGAAAATTAACAAAAACAAACACTAAACACACAGATAATGTATTATATTTGAAAATAATTACTGATATCTAAAAATTTATGACCCACTGTAATATATCAACATTTTTCTTCTCTTCTGCATTCTTTGCTCTTAAGATACTGACAGAACTTGCCTCTGTTCATCTCTGTGAGACTAGCCTTTGCTTTCCAGTTGGTGACTCTAAGTGTTTGCAGGTATTGAGGCAATTACAATGTCCAGGAGAAACTTTAAAGTGATCATTGATGAGGAAAGCCAGAGGTGCTTGACTGGTCTCCATCCATGATATCAAAGTGATTGTACAAGATGGAACAGAATGGAGAAACAGACTGTGTGAAATATGATGACACAGTGGGACAATGAATGAATAAATGAATTGGTTAATTAATTAATTATTTAAATAATTATTTAATTAATGGAAAAAATAATTAATGAAAGTAAGTAAAGGATGTTCTTTACAACCGGGAATGGAAAGTGAGAAACAACAATGAAATTCATAATTTTTTTAAATCACCACTGATCACTGGTATTTTGAGATCTAATAGACTGAAATGGCTTGGGCATATTCAGAGAATGTCAAATAACAAAGGTAAAAACTGTAAACACAAGGGAGCTGAATGGTCATAGACCACAAGGCAGACCAAGAAGATGATGGAGAGATAATATCCAGACAGACCTGCAAACACTTGGTGTTACCAACTGGAAAAAGAAGGCTAAAAGAGATGAGTGGAGGCTAGTGATATCTAATGAACCTCCAGGTCTCAGAATGCTGAAGAAGATAAAGAAGAAGAAGAAGAAGTAAAGGATGTGTTTTATACCAGTAGTGCAATGGCCAAATGGTACTAGACTTATACTTCTAGAGACTAGACCAATGAGCGCTCTTCTGTGTTTACTTACCAAGTGGTAGTAGTAGTTTAATCAACAATATCCAGTTCAACCCATCTGGATTATATTTGGGATATAAGAAAGTTTTTGTTTTTTGAATTTCAAAAATGGATATTTATGTTTATCAATTATGTTTGGCTATTTAATATTGCATCATCATCATCAGGTGCCTTGCTGACTGGCGTGGGCGATCATGCCTCTCCGTAATCTGCGATCTCCTGCAGCATGTATCATTTCGTGTGCCGATACACCTCCATTCCATGCAACAAGACTGTCAAGAATCTTCTCTTGTTGTCTTCCTCTATCCCTCCTTCCACAGATCTTTCCAGTGGTCACAACATGTTCTATTTTCCCTCTTCTCATAACATGGCTGAAAAATGATGACTGTCTCCTTCTGATGTCTGTGATAAGTTGTCTTCGGGCTCCAGCCTCTTTCAAAACCTCTTGGTTGCTCTTTTTGGCTGTCCAAGGTATTCTAAGCATTCTTCTGTAAAACCACATCTCTGAGGCCTCTAAAAATTGTTTGGCCTGCCTACCGTTGTCCAGGATTCACATCCATATGTTAAAACTGGATGTATGTAGCAAGCAAGAATTCTTTTTCTAACCCTCAATGACAAGGATATATTGCACAAGATGTTTTTCATTTTATAAAATGCAGTTTTTGCCTGTCCAATTCTGTTTCTTATTTCAGTTATGCATCTTCCATCTGATGTTATCCGTGTGCCCAGATACTTAAATTTCTCTACTTGTCCTAAAAAAACACCATTGACTTTTATTACACATTTAGGAATAATTTGTTTCTTTGATACCACCATTACTTCTGTCTTCCCATTATTCAAACTGAGGCCCATTCTTCCACTTTCTAACACCACAATGTCTATCATTTCCTGTAATTCTTTCTGACTTGTTGCTATCAACACTGTGTCATCAGCATAACGTAAATTGTTTATATTGTGCCCACCAACCACAATTCCGGGCATATCAATTAAAGATCTCATTATATATTCACTGTATATTGAAAACAAATCATGTGAAAGTACATATCCTTGTCGTACGCCCCTCTTTATGCTTTGAAATGTACCTAAACAGTTGTTTATTCTTATAGCTGCTGTTTGCTGCCAATACATATTCTTTATTATTCGTAGATCTTTCCCATCAATATTTAATTGTTCTAACAGTTTGATTACTTCTAATATTGCATAGCTTATTTATTAATTGTAACAGAATGTAGGTGTACAGATTGTTAAGTGTAACATACTTTGTCTACTTTTCAAACAGTTATGATAATCATAGTGTGTAATCTGTCTTTTGGAATATTTAATGAGATCTATGATGCCATAGGGAGCAGCGGGGTGTAGCGTTCCTGTAGACTGGAAGATCATGTGTTCAGGTCCTGCCATATTTTTTCTCAAAAATGACCCTGGCTCCCAAGTCGACCTAGCCTTGAATGGGTTCCAGGTATAGTCCTGGGAAGTAGCCAGCAGCCGGCATGATGCTGACCACATCACACTTTGTGCCAACTGGTATATAAAATGTAGGTCATGCCCTACATGCAAGAATGCGTGGAAAGGAGTCCTTTACTTTTTCTACGATACCATAATTCAGTCTCAAGATATACTAAAACCTCATATGCTAACCATTGTTTTTATGATGCACTGTTCAAGCACTTTTTAACTTACCTCTAAATCTTTAAGGCAGCCAGATTGGCAAATCACTCTGTAGGCAAACAGATTCTCTGTGCTGACGTCTTCCATAGCTACCTCAGATTTGTTATTCAAACCAGACGGAGTTGAAGCTGTGTGTAGCTCCAAAACTGCTGTGTACTGACATTTCATGCTTGAACTGTAGCCCTGAAGAAGCAAGTACAGGTAATCACACAGTTATCACAAGAGTAAAATCTTAATGTTTTCTCATTGACAAGATCTGTCTGGATGGTGGATGTGGACATTTATGCTGGACATGGATGTGAATGCTGGAAATGGATGCAAATGCTGGATATGAATGCAAATGTTTGATACAACTGCAAAAGCTTGATATGGATGCAAATGCTGGATACATATGCAAATGGTGGATTTGTAAGTGAATGCTAGTTATGGATATGAATACTGGGTATGGATGTAATACTAGATATGAATACAAACGCTTGATGTATCTGCAAAAGCATGATACATATGCAAATGCTAGTTAAGGATGAAAATAATAAATCTGGAAATGAATGCTTGAATATGGATGTGAGTGATGGATATAGGTGCCAGTGGCACATTAAGCATATGATGCTAGATTCACATTTGTACAAACCAAATAGCATTTAACCTGTGATATGGTCAATATCACAAGGGTTGCCACTATTATGCAAGACTTTAGCTGGTACCTATTTTATGCTGGGTCGACCTGGAAGTATAGAAATTTTTTTTTTCAAAGAAGAACTGTATCTGACATTCAGGCTGAAATGTGAGAATCTAGCTGCTACACTGTGGCTCCTGGTGAAGCATAGGCCATCAATCAACTCAGGCTATGTCATTTATTCTTTGCTGTCGTTCGCAGTTCCCCCCCCCCCTCCATATTTTTAACTTCACTCACTAGTTCCCCTTTCTGTGTGATTCTGGTTTACCATTTATTCCTTTGATCCTGTGGGTTGGAGTGCAAAGAAATTCTAGTTAAATTGTTATCAGGTTTTCTCAGCATCTCACTGGAATTTATTTACTTATCTCCCAAAGCTGTAAATTAGACAGCTCCCTAGTCTACAAACAGTAAATTATTATTCTCCATTTTGTTAGTCCGAGTGAGGTAATTTTGTTGTGCCTCTCTACAGCACAGATGAAAAATTTGCACCTTTGAAAAGACATATCCAACTTAATCAAGCATTTGTTGACCAGGTTAACTTCCAGGAAACAGTAAATTTTAAGTACATCTCTCATGCCATTTGCTCACTGGGCATATAGTGCCGACCCATATTTTCATAGACCAGTCAACACTTGATGGATCACCAGACAAATTAAAGATGGCGAAGTACACTGGCAAAAATGATAACCTCATAAACATGCAGTAAATAAATTACCATAGCAGTTTATTCAAAAATTAAACCTCTGCACTTTTGAAAACCTGCATTTTTACATGAGTGTTTTCCTTTTCTAGTCAGTTTGCCAAGCAGAAAATAAAAACTTACCATAAATACAGCATACTTGGCAACTTCATGATTTTCTTCATGAAACCTTGGTTGGTTCATGTCAACAGCTTTCCAGATTTTTACAGTTCTCGGATTAAAAGCAGTTTTTGAACTGTATTTTTTTGGCTTTTCCCAGTGTGTAACAGCTATAGGAAACAGATGACAAGGATTTTTTTATTAAATAACTGTAGTAAGATCTTAAGACACACTACATTACAGTTTCATTCTTCTTCTCTAATAAACATTGGTTGGTTAGCTTGTGGGTTACTTGGATTATAGTGTCAGTCAAATATTGTCATAATTTAACTTACTTCAATGAGTGTTCTTAAGTTCATCTTGTTATTGTTGTTGTTATATCTTTGTTGTTGTTGTTGTCATATTTTAATTTGTATGGTTAGGCATCACAGCCTAAAAGATTATAGGTAACTGAGCTAGGGTGACCTTGGTTGCTTGGTATGCTGTGATGTTGTGAAGTCTCAGGCTGCCAGTAACTCTCTGATCCACTGTCTTCTAGGTCTCCAACTGTCTTTTGAGGTTTTCATTTCAATGTTGTGTTCCAAAATCAGTTAGGTGACCAAGTGCAATGGGGGATATTTTCACCCAGATTAGGATGGTTGGGGGGAAGGCCCAAAGCTGACCTAAAACACCGAGATAGTCCAGATACTCGGATTAAACGAGAATCTTGAGATAGGTGATGACCGCTAGTTATCACGGGTACTACGGGAATGCGACTAAAGGTCGCCACGTGAAAAGTAAAGGACCACCACGTGTTGTCACGTGAAATTAACCCGTGGTATAAGTCAGACTTGACTCTGGTCAAGTTTAGTTTTGTGTCGACCTGTGAGTGAGAGGACGTACGACTGAAAGTGAGAATGCCAACGTGAGAGTGCTTGTGGAGAAAGGAGACCCTGCCGACGAAGTGTGAAGCCGAGATCGACCATGCCAGTGTGTGAAATAGCCAGAACCTCAAAGTGAATCCATGGGAGCCGACTTTGGTCTGTGAATGCTTGAAGAAGACTGCTCGCTGAAGGCTGCGTGAGTTTGTGTACGAAAGCTGTTTACTAGGACAACGACAGGACCTCTTTTATGTAAGTGTAAATACGTCAATTAACTCATGTCTCGTAAGCTCTCATAGGTGTTGGCTTGTACCAGTTGGGTAACGCAGAGTGTGTGAGGAGAATATTCATGACACACGCATGAACACCACCTAGACAACGAGAAGAAACACACACACACTCATTACACCAAGTCAATTCAGACTTTGTTTTTTGGTGAATTTAACAATGGGCTTTCACTTCAGTTAACTTATGACACTGTTTTAAAAAAAAAAAACCTGGGAGGAAAAAGTATTCCCCCCCCCCCCCCCCCCAAAAGTTGAGAGATGTGAACCAGCGTCATTGCAGACGCTTAAAAACCATTAGTGCTCTGCCACCAGTATGGACAGCTGATAAGAATTGTCTGCCTGTGTTGCCATTCGCATGTAACTCTGTAGCTCTGTAGCTACAGCGACATTCCTCTATTTACCCCAGAGTATCATTCTGGTACCCATTTCCTAGAGACTGGGTGAACCCCGGGAGCCGCCCAGTTTTGAACACCGACCGTGGCTGCTGCGAGTAGCAGCTGGATTTGAAAGCGAGCCTCGTATCGACTGAGCTAACGTGCCACCCCTCCCTCCCCCCTCCTAACCAATAAACATTTTCTTTATGTTCACCGGCTGTAAATCCAGCAGAAAGTTATGGTTGTTGATCCACCTCTAGACTTTACTCATGTTTCAGATCCTCAGTGTTGCATACACATCCATTTTACAGATCTGACTTATCTGTATGCAGATGATTGGTTCCTTGCCTCTCAGGCAGATGCACTCGCAGTTAGTCAAGTCTTACGACATGCTTGTTAGGTATGCAGAGGGTCTATTCTTCTTTTCTCCACAAAGGGACCTTGCAATCCACACAGGGCAACCAATAAACAAATCCACAGAGATGTGAGTTGCTTAACTCTTTCTGTACCATGCAATGTACTACATGTTGTACTATACATTCACTAGGTAATCCAAAAAGAGTGCACTACTATGACTCTCTTATATTACAGAGAAATATCTAGGCAACTACTAGTACCAACAGCTATGAGACAGAGAGGATTGTGCTATACTAAATTTTGAGAAGAGAAGGACAGAGAAACACCAAACAGGCAGTGAAATGGGAAATAGAGAGACTGAGGAAACAATGACATCCAAGAAAAATCTTCAAGTGAACACTGATTAGAGAAGTCAAAGGTCAAAGGTGCTGGACTGGATTCCATCCATGATATTGAAGTGCTTACACAGGATAGAACAGAATGGAGAAACAGACTTTGAGCCCTATTTGATGTATAACAGATAAAATATAGTGGAAAAAGAACAGAGGAGACAGACAAGAAAGTAGGTAGGCAAACAGACATTTAAACAGGCAAACTAGTCAGCAAGCAGACAGATAGTATGTATTACTCATAAGTTGGAAAACAAAAAAAACAGAAATATTTGCACCTGAAATTTTTCCAGATTTGAAATCCAGAACTTTGCTTTTTCCACCAACAATATACGAGTCGTATGGCAACAGCTTATCTGCATCTAAGCTATCCCAAATATAGTCTAGCCGTAATACAGGTAATCCATATTTGACAGCCATCCGGCTCTTTGACGACACATCACACTTTTCTGGATCACTTGTGACAACAATATGACACTGAAAATGGAAACAGTCTCATCTGCAACTCTTACAGAAATGTGACAATGTATTTATTATCCATTCAGCATATAATAATATTTATTTATTATTGCTAATTTAAACAAGGCTTAGGCCCTTTGAGCACCCCCACCAATAGAAACTAAGAGTCTGAGGTCTCCCCCACCCCTTTTTTTTTTTACAGTGTTTGATTTGTGTTGGAACCCCTGGTCTAATCCATGGATAATTTGTAACAACAATGCAACAATGGAAATGCAAACAATCTACAATGTATGTGCAGTTTTAAATCAATCAAAAACTGCAAGAGTCAATATTTGAAATGCAATGACAGCTATGAGACAACTGGAATTAATAGCAGTAGAAGACATTGGTGCCAGGAAAGAGGTGTATGGGCCGACCAGCACAAAGATGGGCACAAGATATAAGTGAGACCCTGGGTAGGAAAATGCCTGAGGCAGGAGATCTGGTGACAGACCAAGTTTTTCTCAGGCAGGCTGTGATGAAAGCAGGGTTATGTAAAGGACCTGATACATGATGATGATGTTATGAATTTAAATAAAAGGAATGAAGAGTGACTTTAAAAGTCTCCAAAGTTTCTAGTTCCAATTTTTTTTTTTTTTTTTTTTTTTATTGTTGAAAGAATACTTAACGGATGATGTGATTTTATACTTCAACACGAGGAACTGTAAAGGGTCCCAACATTAGGACGATTGAGAACTACTGCTGTAGAGTCTCTTAGCCAACTTCACTTTAGCTGAAAGCTCTGTAGAGGGTTCAGATAGCCTGAAAGCTAATGTGTCAGATTAAAGAGTTTCAACTTACAGTCTTCAGGAGATGCAGAAGTGCTGAATCAGTTACGGTGGTGCTTATAAAGGTCTACTGGTGAAGACCTGCCTGTACCACTCTGTGGTCATCCTAGAAACAGGTTGCCAGCCAGCAGCCTGACCAGTGTAGATAGGATCGATGTTGCTTCTGAAGTCACAGTACAACTGCTGTAGAGGCATGAATCTAACACACACATTAACAGTCTGCACACATATAAGCCAGAAATGTAAAACAAATGTGCATGCCGCACTAAAGTCCTGAAACAAGACCAAGGCCCAGAAGAGGATGAACAACCGTGACTTTCAACCAGAGTTTACAGCCAGTGAATATGAAAAAGAAGAACAGCTTCCATGGATTCAACAATCACCCAATAGCTAATAACAACAATAAAACCACACGTTTATCCTTGCTTCCTTTAACTTACTTTTTTGGTGACAATGTAGCTGATGATACCACCATTTTCTACAATCTTTTTCCTGATTTCTGTTTTCTTCTTGAAGTTTAGGCCACTTCCAAGGTCCAGGCCTATTTGCAAACCTTTGAAGAGGCCCATCTTCATTCACAATGAAGCCTGCTGGTTATGCTGAAAATTATAAAACAGTTCTTCATTAACTGGTGCCTGCAAACAATAGAGGGAATCAAACTGCATAACAGAATCTCTGTTGTGGAGCTTTGTTAGAGAATTAACCAAACTTCAGTGCATCAATAAGTGAGGGAAAGATTCTGGCCCTTGAAAGGGCACACACTCGGAAAAACCTTATAATAATATTATCTAGAATATACTTGTACAGGATAAAAGATTTAAAGGTTGACCTCCCCCCTCCCCCACCCCACCCTCTTCCTTTCCCATCTAAAAAAAACACCCCAAAAAAAACATTTAAAAGAAAGAAATTAAAATGAATCAGATGGAGATGACATGGGGTGAGCTGCTCTCAGGTAATTAGGTAACCACAGATCCTACCTTATAGCATAAAGGTCACCCTATAGTTGCTCTGTTTCTGTGTCACTGAAAATCACACAGATTTCCATCACTGTCCCTCGTGAAAAACTTGACATAGACTGCAGTCTTAGTGAATACAACAGCATATGCATGCATTCAATGCATGAGTCAGCAGTGAGCAGTGCCAATACAAACAGTCTGACACTAGAAATGCAGTTCATCATCGATGGAAGCAGCAGTAACAACATATTAGTAGTTGCACACATGATTTTTTGCATAAGGCTCTGTAAGTTCTTTGACAACAGACCACTAGCCATTCTCTGAATCTGTATTTCACAACAGAAATCACGCTGGGCATAGCTGAAAAGCATCCCAAATGAAATCTGCAGCTGAGTGTTGTGCCATGAACTCACCTCAATAGCTGGGTTACAGAACTATATTCGCTCAGCCTATCTGCCATATTGATTCGAACTGAGCTGCACTCATTGATAAAGAGCAGAATGTGTTATGAACTGTTCTCCAATTGGTATGGAAGGAAGTACAAAATAAGAAGAGTCAATAAAGAATTGCTATTATGGGATCAGCAAAGAAAAGACAAATGCAATTTATGGGTTGAGTTGAGCTGAGTCAAGAATTGACATCACAGCACTTAGGGCATTCCCATGTGTACTACTTCCTCATCTTCAGCAGCCAGCTCAGAGTTCCAATACTGATGGTACCGGTCACAATCTGATTATATGTCCATCTTGCCTCTGAGTGTAGTGAGCCGGCCAGACCTGATTACAACTAGGTGTCTCATTCTCTCCAGGCCATAATAATCTTGTTTCTCTACTGATTCTGTTGCTTGTTCCCAAAGGGACTTGACCACATCTTCCTTGTCATGTATAAATTCACCCAGTGGTGCAGATCTAGCCGATCTGTCTGAGTGTTGCAGTTTATGGGTATACCAACAGAAGAAGAGGAGAAAGTAGTGTAAACTCCACCATGGAGAGAACACAAGAGGAGGCTTCTGACCATCAAATATTTTCAATTTTTACAAACATTCCAGCCTCTTTATCTTCTTTACACTTTCAAGGATCAGGTCTACCCTAGTCATGACTCCCTGGTGTCTTTCTCCAGTTGTGTATTTGAACAATGTATACAAGCTTCAAGACAAGTGATTTACCACTGAATGAGAAATGCTGTTTTGTAGAAATGTACTAGTCAACAGACCAAGGGAGAGAGAGAAAGATGCATGTGCTTAAACAGCTGAGCAACAAAAAAAATATTTGAGACAACATCAACATTATATTACCTCTTTCATTCCCAGAAAATTGCAGCTAATGTCTGAAAAGATGAGGCACTAATAACAATGCAAAACTCATGGGTTTACTATGTCCAGCTACATACTTACTTTGGCTAACAAATATATTGCCAGAATTCTTTTGCATTCCTGACTAAACATGAATATACTACTAGTACTCAGAAAGCACAGATGAGTACTCATGCATGATATCCAGACACACTTCGTACTTTGTTTGGGACAGAAAGTGTTAGGAAGCCATGGTAGTTTAGTGGCTAGATGCTTTCCAGCCAGCTTGAAAGTCTGGGCTTCCATCCGCTTCAAGGCAGAAATCTTCAAAAAATAGATCTTTTCTCTCAGATCAACCCAGCCCAAAATGTGTTAACAGGTTATATCATAGGAAATAAAGGCGGCCGGCATGATGTTGAACATTCATCCACAGAGTACTGAATCAGCGGCACTCTTCCGAATACAGGTTCCAAATTATTCACTGTAAACGCATGTCGTAATAGACTATGTAATGTTAGATGCCAAATTCAACCCATTATTAACAAGCTTACAAAGGGCTTGCCATGAATTAATTTGGGGTTAAGCCCCAATAGGGGTCAAAAAGGGACAAAAAGGCAGCTAAATAAGGAAGGGAAATTGATCTTCGAAATCGACATCTTGCAAACATCCGTGCTGGCTTAGGTTCAAAATGTTATACTTATAAAATAAAGTTAGCAATTATTACGTATAAGATTTACAGTTACAACTATTTTTTTCAGTAGCAGATAACAATGATTAAACATTGACAAATTATACATTTATTTTTCTTAAAAAAAAAAAAAAATATTTATGTATGTAGGGATTAGAAATATATTATATTCTCTATTTCCTTTACTTTACAGTATTTTACACGATCTCGTCTTTCAATTTTGTAAAGGGACATTAATGCGAGTCAAGTCAGTCAAAATGTATGAGTTATATGTATGTATATTATCTGAATGTGGGTAGTTACCTCAATGTAAACATTACCTCTCAATTATTTAATGAGAAAGGAAGGTCTGAAACAAAACACCTGTGCCTCTACTGTGATGTCAATGTTTACAGACGTAACTTTAACGTTCCTTGTCAGTCAGTGGCAGTGAGGTGTTCCTAATGTTTCCCAGATATTCCCCAATCCTGTTTTCTGACCTATATTTAGCAGCTTCGTCAATGAAGTCTAAATTTAGTATCGTTACCCTGAAACGTCAGCTCTGTGGCTAAGTCGATGCGAATGCTTCGTAATGCCGGGATGCCGGGTTCGATCCCAGCTGCGGTACTTGCGTTGGTTTCGACAGTGGTATCAAGAAAGCCGACCGTCCAGGGCAATGGCAAACTACTGGAAAATTGCCTAGAAAAAAACCACAGCAGCCAGGGGCTGTTGGGGTTGGTTCTGCAACGTCCTGTAAAGGATACGCAACGGGCACCTTTACGGAACGACGGCTTGAACTCCCCTTTAAAGGTGAGACGGCGGTTGAAATTTGATCGAGGAGCAGGACTGACTGCGAACGATTCGGACACTGCGTACCGTCGATCCCATCGAGCGGAGCTTTGCGTTGGTTTCGACAGTGGTATCAAGAAAGCCGACCGTGCAGAAGCAATGGCAAACTACTGGACGTAAATTGCCTAGAAAAACCACACTACAGCCAGGGGCTGTTGGGGTTGGTTCTGCAAAGGATACGCAACACCTTTATGCTGAAACACGGCAGGACTCCCTTTAAAGGTGGAGACGGCGGTGGCTGAAATTGATCGAGTATAAATAACTGCGTACCGCGATGTCGAGCATGAACAAATGAACAAATTCAGGTGTAATTGCTCACCACAAAGAAGATATATAAATAAGATAGCAAAGGAACCATATTTGAAAAAGCAGGCCATCAGGCGGCTAAAAAAGGACTAAGCTTGGAATTTTTGTTTGATTTTATACGATACGATACGATGTCGAGCGCAATTTTTTTCAAGTCCCACCTGACGTAGGCCTATGTCAGGGGCCTTAATTTAACCCAGCAAACGCCGGCGAAAAGTTCTAATCGTTTGTCTATTTCTGGATTTTAGTTTTGTCCCGGAACTTGAGTTTTGCGTGCACATCCGTTTTACAGATCTAGCTTATTTTAATAAATTAAAAAAAAAAAGTAAAGATCCCTGTTCACGCTTTTAGGAGCATCGGGCACATGGGAAGAGCACCTTATATTTGTACAGACCATTCGGCACTAGGTGGGTAATGTGGTCAGCATTACATCGGCCGTCTTAACTTCCCCAGGACATCCATTCTTGTACCCATTTCAGGCTGGGTCGACCTGCGACGAACCATACCACGATAAAAATCCACGCAGCCAACAGTGGGTTTCGATCGCGGTACGTTGGAATTACGAGTCAGACTCGCAACGCATAAGCCACGGACACCGCACTTTCATAAATACTGTTGGTTTCTTGCCTGTAAGGCAGATGCACCCCCACTTTGAAGGAAACCCCTAATTAGTCGACACCTCTGACATGCTTGTTAGAGAGGCAGTCGGTCGGATCTCCCTCCCTCTCATAAGGGACCTTGAACTCACATAAGGAAGTTATGTATTCAAGTTCCGTTTGAACCACGGTGTTTTTTTTTTTATCCTAATGGTCCCAGTCTAAAAGAGGGATCAGTGAATTTCCTGGGAAGTAAAGGCAGTCAGTGACATTAAGTTTACTTTACCCTCTGGTCCAGGGCAGTCTAAAAACGTGTCATCATCAAGTGCCTTGCCGACTGGCGTTTGCGATCATTCTTCTCCAAAATCTGCGATTCGCAGTTCCTGTGTTGACACCCCTCCATGCATCTTTCCAGTGGTCACAACATGTTCCATTTTCCCTCTTCTCCTAACATGACCCCCCAAAAAAATGATGATAGTCTCTTTCTGATGTGTATGATAAGTTGCGCACAACTCTTTCAAAACATCTGGTTTGATTTTTTTTTTTTTTTAAGCTGTGTAAGGAATTCTAAGGATTCTTCTGTAAAAACACATCTCTGAGGCCTCAAGATATTGTTAGACTTGTTTATAAAGTGTCCAGGATTCACAGTCTTGTGTTAAAACTAGCTTTATACAGCATGCGAGAATTTCGTTTCCTTACTTCTGTTGACAGGAATTTGTTGCACAAAATCTTCACACTATCTACCGAATACAATGCGTTGTGTGATAACGAGTCCTCTATACCAGTGTTTCCCAAACTGTTCTTGGTCGGGTCGCCTATTTTAAATTTAAATTTTAGTAAAAGTAGGACTATTCGTGTCTTGGTTAAATTAATTATGAAGCTTTATCAATATTTTGCAGCGCCCCTGTGA